GGTCCAAACATATTTTTTGTTCGGGTGCAAACATAATTTATGTTTGGGTGCAAACATAATTTATGTTTAGATCCAAACATAATGTATGTTTGGCTGGAAACAAACTTATGTTTCGGTCCAAACATAAGTTGTGTTTGGACCTAAATATAATTTATGTTTGGGTCCAAACATAATATATATTGGGGTGCAAACATAAATTTATGATTGGGTCCATTTGTATACTTACTGCAGATATAATTCAACCATAATGCAAACTAGTTTTAAAATCAATTTTTGATATTCACATTTTATTTAACATAAAAGAAATTCATACATATTATAATATATAATATAAAATTAAAAAACATATACATATTATAAGCATATGTTTTAAAGGCAATTTATAAATAAATTATTTTCAAAATTTGAACATATATAAAATGTGTCATTTGTTAAAAATAATAATATTAAAATAAAAATTCTAATTATAAAAATATTAAAGAAAATAAATAATTTATAATGAAACATAGTTTTTTATTTTCTTTAATATTTTTATAATTAGAATTTTTATTTTAATATTATTATTTTTAACAATTTTTTATTACTGATATTAATATTATATTAATTATTACAATTTTTATTATGCTTAAAATTATTCTTATGTTTCTAATATTAATTTATTATGTTTTAATTTTTATAAATAATATATTGTTGTTATTGATAAAATAAAATAAACATTTGTTAATAAGTTTATAATTTATATCGTGCCAGTTTTCATAAAATGTTTAATTTTATATTAATTTTTTAATTTATTATTATTAATATTATTCTTAATATTTGTTATTATTTTTATTTATTAATTTATTATTTTTCCTTTTATTACAATCACTATTTTTTCAATAAAGTAAAATACTTACAATCTGTTAGGGTCTTCTTTTAGACATTCGTCAATAAGGGCCTTCGAAATATTCACCCTATCTTTATTTTGCAGGCGTTTTTCGGCAATAAAAATTCTCCATATTTTGTTGACAGCCGGAATTGACTTGATGGACTCTATGTCAGTCTTTAAAGTTGAAATAACATTTGTTTTTGGGGTAAGATCCCCAAAACCACCTACGGATTCACACTCCGATAGAGTGCCACTAACTGTCGATGCTGATGCCACTGATCGAACGGAGTCTAAATGAAAATTAAATATATTATTTAAAAAAAGAAATATATTATTTAAAAAAAGAAAAAAATATTAACAGCCTGTTTCTTTATTTTGAAACGAAATTTTTTTTTGTTCCGACATAAAGAAACAGTCTGTAAATCCAGTGTACTTACCTCCAAATTGCAACTCAATATGAAAAGTAGGTGTTGACATATATTGATGAATTACTTTTTCAAACTGGTCTTCTTTAATGGTTGCACCAAACACTAAGGCTGTTATTTTTCTTGAGGCATCAATTTTTAACTCTAATTTGGCTGCTTTTATAAAGCTTTGTAGATTTAAAGGCTCCGGCGCTTCGACAAATAATTTGTCTTCCCCCAAAACAGTTGGTATCAACATTTATTACAACACTTGTGACACGACGCGAAGGCACAAAACAAATAAAAAGAATAAAAAAAGAACACAACCAGAATGCCAACATGAGACACGCGCAAATGTTACGCTCTTTTGTTCTCATCAAGCAAATCGGTGTGTATGCGAAAAACGCATGTATGTATGTATGCATGAACATTAGTAAGAAGCAACGTCTCAGCAACAAAAAAACATCCAAACAGCTCTTTGTGTGTTGTTGTTGGCATTTTTTGGTGCATGGACAATAGAAAAGAAATAAACGTCTCAGCAACAGTTTCCATCCCTCTTGCCGCGCACACACCACACATAGTTACAGCAGCGATCGGCAGTGTTTGCTTGGTGAGAGCAAAAGAGCGTAACATTGGTGCGTGTCTTAAGTTGAGACACTCAAGTTGAGACACGCGCCAATGTTACGCTCTTTTGTTCTCACCAAGCAAACACTGCCGATTGCTGATGGAACTATGTGTGGTGTGTGCGCGGCAAGAGGGATGGAAACTGTTGCTGAGACGTTTATTTCTTTTCTATTGTCCATGCACCAAAAAATGCCTACTTGAGAAAGAAAACGTTACAACAACAACACACAAAAAAATTGACTCCTCTGTATATATGTCGGTGTTAATGCGAAAAACGCATGTATGTATGTATGCATGAACATTAGTAAGAAGTATCGTCTCAGCAACAACTAGAAAATTCACACCGCACAACAGCAACGAAAAAACATGCAAAAAGTTTTTTCGTTGTTGTTGTTGTGCGGTGTGTATTTTCTAGTTGTTGCTGAGACGTTACTTCTTACTAATGTTCATGCATACATACAACTTCTATTTACAGTTATATTTGGAAGAGAGCAAAAAATGTTTCGGTTCTGCTTTGTTGTGCGGCCAACCAAGCCAACACATCATTAACGCAAAAACAGACTTCTCACCCTCCTGTCTTCTTTTAAGTCACCTATAACACCAATTCAAAAGTAATCGAGAGCTCTGTTGTTTAGCTCTTTGAAAAAAATCCTCTCCGCACCCATAAAAAAATATGTTCTAACATATAAAATATGTTGGTACCCAACAAATAAAATTGAGTTATGTTACAAAATGTTGCAAACAAATATTTGTTTGCACCGAAACAAATTATGTTTGCATCCAAAAATATATTTGTTTGCAACCAGTCCCAAACAAATATATGTTTGGATCCAAACATATTTCTAACATATATTTTTCTGCGTGTAGAGACGTCATACAATTATTGCAGTTTAGGCAAGGTTGTAAACACCTCTTAACTTTAACGAAAGAATTATCAAATGCTACAATTGCCAAGGGAACGTTACAAACCTCTCTTGACCCATCAGGCAACCGTTCAGTTTCAGTTTTAGCCTGTGGCCCATTTATTAATTCAAGACTCATTAATATCATAGATTAAATGACTTAAAACTAATTATTCTATAACTAATCATGTATTTATACAACGCAACTTTACATCAACAACAAGTACAAAAGCTGAAAGTTCGACCGGGCCGAACTTTTAAACCCTCCACCTTTTGGTAAAAATTTGGCAATTTCCAAAAAAATAAAAATAATAAAATCCGTTAAAATTCTGTTAAAATCTTAAAAATACCGAATGCCTACTAGACGACGTGGACCTGCATGGGCAACTTTTGTCATAAGATATTACAATATTTAAATGCGAAACTTGAAGAAAAATCTGTTAATAATGTAGGTAGGTGTAGGTAATAATGGAGGTACCGTTATATGGGGGCTATATGATAACTTGGACCTACATGGCCCATTTACGAACCTAACCTGCCTACTGGCAAAATATACATGTGTGCAAAATTTTAGCCTTCTATCTCAATTTGTTCGAAAGATAGGGTGATTACAACAGACAGACAGACACGGCTAAATCGTCTTAGAATTTTACACTGATCAAGAATATATATACTTTGTTGGGTCTGACATGAGTATTTCGAGGAGTTACAAACGGAATGACAAAATTAATATACCCTCCATAGTATTGTGGAGGGTATAAAAAGGGCCACAACATGTTTGTGGACACAACTGGCTGTATTATGCCTTAAGGCTACAACTTAAATTATGCCCGAAACAGAGAAAAATTAAAACAAGTAACAAGTAGAAAAAGCTGTAATTTCGGACGGGCCGAACTTTAAATACCCTCTACCATTTGGGACGAATTTGGCAATTCTCAAAAACAATAAAATCCGTTAAAAATTCTGTTATAATCTTAGAAATACCGAATGTAGCTGTTATAATAGAGTCTATACGACGACGAATATAGGGGGTTCCGTTATAAGGGGGCTATACGAAGACGTGGACCTGCACAGACTATTTTTTTTTTTTTTTTTTTTTTTGTCTTAGGCTGTAGTATCCATTACGAACTTCAAATACTAAATTTGAAACAATTCCGGTAAATAATGTCGCTAAAATCATCAAAATAACGAATATCGGAGGGTACCGTTATATGGGGGCTATACGAAGACGTGGACCGGCATACCAAAATTTTTGCCATAGGCTGTAGTACACATTACGAACTTTAAATATGGAATTTGGAATAATTCCGGTGAATAATGTCGCTAAAATCATCAAAATACCGAATATCGGGAATTACCGTTATATACGAAAACGTGGACCGACATGGACCGAATTTTCAATACCAAAAGTCCTGCTGACATAATAAACATTCGTGTAAATTTTTATCAACTTACTTCATTTCGTTCGGAAGCTAGAGTGATTTCCACAGACGGACAGAGGGATAGACGGGCAGACGGCGGTCATTTCTAAGTCGACATATGTAGAATTTTATGCTAATCAAGAATATATATATTTTGTGGGGTGTAAAACGTGTATTTTGAGGTGTTACAAACGGAATGACAAACTCAATATACCCTCCATACTATGGTGGAGGGTATAAAAAATAATAATAATAATTGCCACTGTCATTATAGCAAATACCAGACATATTTTGGGAATATGATATTCCAGATTCCAAATTCTTACATTGGAAACTAACATTGAGGTATATATCTGTGAGATATTGGCCGAAATGTTGGAAAGGGTATGCCAAAATTGGAATACACGGATGGGCCGTACTATCAATTCAAATAAACATTTCATGAAAATTTCTTTATTATTAATATTTTTAATAACTTTTCTATAGCCTTCTTCATGAGTACCCAAAATGCAAAATTGCTTTAGGGCTAAAATTAGTGCAATATAATTTTTGTACAAAAGGTTTTCGATCCTGTAAGATCCATTTAGAACATTCGAAATACCTTAAATTGGCAGGTGTCCTTATGTGGGGTCTACACCTAAACGGGGCTCGATATATAGCATTTTTAATAAGCATGTATGGTATGAAATCAGTTACACAGTGCTGATCATCAGAAACAGATTTAGAAAAAAATAATTGATTTATTTTTCTAATTCGAATAAAAATAAATTTCAGGACAGCTTTAATCTTTTCGGTAAAAGAATGCCTCTACCGTTGCTTTCAAGTCGTTGTTGGCCGACACTGTTATTTTGAAAAGATATTCACCCTCGGGTATGGGGAAAAAGTGAAAGAGGTCCTCTTCCAATATCAAATCCTTAACAATAATTGCATCCTGAAATGATAAAAATGTCGAATTGATACCACACAAATAACATTTCCGCTTACATTATAGGGACAAGTATGATTCAAATTGGACTGCTTCAAGAAAACATCAAATATGACTTTTACGATCGGGTAACGTTTTCGATTGGCAAAAAAGGCACATATATCCTGGGTTATGTTGTATAGAAAGGGGCGATAGCCTGAGGCACGTTTGTACATTGCCAAGTTCACCTGTCGGAAGTTAGGAATAAATTAATGAAATAAATGCTTACAACTATTAATGAGACTCTCATACACTTGAATTTGTCACGGGTGTTTTATACAATCCAACACGAATATTTAGAGTTACCACACCACGACGCACCACTTTCAATTTACACATCTCAAAATGGGAAAATGACAAATCATGATCGTAACATTTGATGTTGGTAAATTTGAAAGAGGATTTGCCACTGCAGTATCGAAGAAAGTTGCAGCACACAAATAAAAGGCATAAACTTTGAATTTTATAAAACATATTTTGCGACGAAACAGATTTTAGTGGACACAACGTCAATGGGGGAAATGAAAATAAAAAATAATACATTTTTACCACCTGATGGAAAATTTTTTCAAATGCATCCATGAAAAATAATAAACTTTAAATATTAAAACAATTAATTCGGCATTAAATGTATCGATTTCGATTTAATTGTCAGAAAAATGAAAACGTGATTTATGTTCGGCCAAGCTGAACCTTTTAAGATTCAATAATAACAATGAATCAGCATGATGCTCTGAAATTATTTTTTTAAACAAAAACCAGTAAAGAAATTCCTAAAGTCGGGCGGGGCCGACTATATGATACCCTACACCACTTTGCTAATTTAGTTGAGCTCCACATAGCCATTAAAAGATTTTATGGGAGAAATTAATCATACACGCTATGATTATAATTATAATTTAAAGTTCAAAGTACTAAATATGCCGAAGCATTTGTATCTTTTAAATTCGGACTTGAATTGCCCATTTGGTGCAAAATTAATTTGAATTCAGATAAAGATATACATGGGAGCTATATGCAAATCTGAACCGATCTCGATAAAATTTGGCAAAGATATTTCTGAGCTGTATTTGATATATTTCCCTGAATATCGTTGTTACGGAGAACGTGATTTACGTCCAGCCAAGCTGGACCTTTTAAAATTTTATATTCACTATGACTCAGCATGATGATCTGAATTAAATATGATGATCTTTTATTAAATGTTATTATCTGCGAATTGTTTTTTTAGTCCTCAAAAAACCAAAAAAAAAAAAAAAAAAAAAAAACTATTAACATCAACAAACTTTTCGAAATGTCAACTTCACTTGCAAAGGGTGATTTTTCGAGAGCTATTGGATATATAAAAAACCAGAAAAAAAAGTCTTAAAGTTGGGCGGGGCCGACTTTATGATACCCTACACCACTTTGCTAATTTAGTAGAGCTCCACATAACAATAAAAGTTTTTATGGGAGAGTTCAGTCATACACCCTATGATTATAATTATAATTTTAAGTTCAAAGGACTAAATATGCCGAAGCATCTTTTAAATTCGGAATTGTATTGCCCATTTGCTGCACAATTAATTTGAAATCGGATAAAAATATATATGGGAGATATATCCAAATCGGAACCGATCTCGATAAAATTTGGCAAAGATATTTCTGAGCTGTATTTGATATATTTTCCTGAATATCGTTGTTACAGAGTGCATATTACGGCTGTGGGTAACAAATATGACAAATCGGATGAACAGTATATACAGCTATAACCATATCTGAACCGATCTTCACCAAATTTAACATACTAGCTTCTAGATTCAATTCAGTCGTAAGTGCCAATTTGGGCAAATATTAGACATTTGGTGCACAATCAAAGGTAAATCGGACGAAGTTATATATGGGAGCTATATCCAAATCTGAACCGATCTCGATAAAATTTAGCAAATGTATTTCTGAGCTGTATTTGATATATTTCCCCAAATATTGTTGTTACAGAGTGCATATTACGGCTGCGGAGGACAAAAATAACAAATCGGATGAACAATATATATGGGAGCTACAGCTATACCTGAACCGATTTCGATATTTATTTTCAGGTCCAATCTGATTGTACGTGCAAAATTCCATACTATTCGGACTGATATTATACGTTTGATGCACAATAAAAGGCTAATCGGACGAAGATATATATGGGAGCAATATCTAAATTTTGACCGATTATCTCCAATTTCAATAGGGTTCGTCCTTGGGCCAAATGATTTGTGCAAAATTTCATCTGGATAGGGCAATAAATGCGAACTGTACTTTGTTTACAAAAATACATGGACAGGCGGACGGACAGACAGACGGACGGACGGACAGACGGACATGCACAAATAGACTCAGAATGTGATTCTATGCAGATCATCAAAAGGAACTATGGGTCTATCCCGTTTCCTTTTGCCTGTTACAAACAAATGCACAAAGACATAATCCCCTGACCACCTTGTGGTGTAGGGTATAAAAATGAGAACGTGATTTACGTCCAGCCTTTTAAGATTTTATATTCACAATGACTCAGCATGATGATCTGAATTAAATATGAAGATCTTTTATTAAATGTTATTATCTGCGAATTGTTTTTTTAGTCCTCAAAAAACAAAAAAAAAACTATTAACATCAACAAGCTTTACGAAATGTCAACTTTACTTGTAAAGGGTGATTTTTCGAGAGCTATTGGACAGATATAAAAAGAAATAAAATTCAGAAAAAATTAAGGAAATCTTTATTAGAATTGATAGGTCGATATAATTAGATGGTCCATACAATTTACTGCTTGACGATTATTTCATGCAAATGTTGGATGCGACTGCGCCTCAAATGGTCCTTTCGCTTATTCCAATTTTGGCATATTTTTTCTACATTTCGGCAGGTATCTCACGAATAAATTCTTCAATGTTGTATTCCAATGTGTCAATTGTAGTGAGCTCATCTGCGTAGACATAAGCTTAAACACAGCCCCATAAAAGTATAAAGGTGTTATCGCCCGATTTTGATTAGTTCCGAACGTGAAATAAATTTTCATAGTTCTCGTGTAATGATCAAAAGTCGTGGAACTTGTTTTTGAATTCACGATATTTAGCTAACTTCCTCGAAAGAAGCCAAAAAATATGGAAGATAAAATAGTAGATTAATTTCTGGAAAACAAAAGGAAATCGCCGATTTACCAATCGCCATTACACCTATACTAAAATTACGCTACGAAGGTGTGCTATACAATGAACAAACGAGGAACCTCATTTTGTAACCATTCTTGGGTGGTGCGTGCTAAGTGCGATGGTGGTGAGTCCAAGGTCTGCGGCCAAAATGTTTGCGTGCCCAAGGCTTTAATACACCCTCCAGAATATTTTCGCAATAATATTCTGATGCCACGGTCGATTAATACGAGCGGAGAGCGACCATCGGCTGTATATAAATAGGTGAAATCAGCAGGTACTTTTATATGAGCATTACTCCGAAATATTGACATTGAAAAATTTCCGCGAAGAGGTCTTCTATCAGAAGCTAGATGCCAAATAAGGGCAAAATCAATTGAAAAGTGTGACCAAGACCCTGGTAATAACATCACCGGATACCTTCACTAAAGAGTCATAATGAAGCATGGTTCTATACTTATAATTATTTGAAAGAATTTTTATACCCTACACCACATAGTGGTAAGGGTATTATATCGTTGTGCATTTGTTTGTAACATGGAGAAGGAAGCGAGATAGACCCATAGTTACTTTTGAGAATCTCCATAGAATCACTTTCTGAGTTGATTTATGCATGTCACTCCATCTGTCCGTCCGTCCGTCTGTCCATGTATTCTTGTGAACAAAATGCAGGTCGCATTTATTATCTGATTGAGATGAAATTTTCCAAATAACATTTGTTTGGCCCAAGGACGAACCCTATTGAAATTGGAGATAATCGGTGAAACATTAGATATAGCTTCCATACATATCTTCGTCCGATTTGCTTTTTTATTGTGCACCAAACGTGTAATACCAGCCCGAAAAGTATTGAATTTTACACATACAACCAAATTAGGCCTGAAAATAAGTATACCAAATTTGATCGAAATCGGTTCAGATATAGCTATAGCTCCCATATATATTGTTCATCCGATTTGTTATTTTTATCCTCCGCAGCCGTAATATGCACTCGGTAACAATAATATTTAGGAAAATATATAAAATGCAGCTCAGGAATATCTTTGTTAAATTTTATCGAGATCAGTTCAGATATAGCTATAGCTCCCATATATAACTTCGTCCAATTTACTTTTTTTTGTACACCAAACGTCTAATATTTGGATGAATTTTGGCACATGCGATCGAATTGAGTCTAGAATCTAGTATGCCAAATTTGGTAAAGATCGGTTCAGATATGTCTATAGCTCCCATATATATTGTTCGTCCGATTTGTTGTATTTGTTACCCACAACCGTAAAATGCACTCTGTAACAACAATATTTAGGAAAATATATAAAATGCAGCTCAGAAATACCTTTGTTAAATTTATCGAGATCGGTTCAGATTTGTATATAGCTCCCATATATATCTTTATCTGATTTCAAATTAATTTTGCACCAAATGGGCAATACAAGTCCGAATTTAAAAGATGAAGAAAAATGCTTCGGCATATTTAGTCCTTTGCTTTTTAAATTATAATTATAATCATAGGGTGTATGATTGAATTCTCCCATAAAACTTTTAATTGTAATGTGGAGCTCAACTAAATTAGCAAAGTGGTGTAGGGTATCATAAAATCGGCCCCGCCCGACTTTAGGACTTTCTTTACTGGTTATTCCTGTAATTATTTCTTGAATTGCATAGTGTTATTCAGCTTGGGAAATATTTGCACCCAGACAAAGACTTAAACGAGCGATTTATTACAACATTATATTCTGTTTATTTCAATCTTTATCTTTAGAAAAAAAAAACACTTGTCGTTTTATTTAAGCAAAACTAGGACGTATCATCATTTGAACGAATTTCAATGAGTAATGTTTGCCACGAAACGATTCCCAGACTATGCCACTTTCTAAGTGAGTTTTGCCCATTAGATAGTCACCATTGAGATTGCTAATAAAAAACAGAACAAAATTTAAATGAAGTGTACATAGAATTATTTGTTAAAATCCAAAATTACCTTTCACCGCCCTCTCTGTACCACCAACCACCTTTATGAGGTCTATCATGCGAGTAATTGTCGTGTGAAGTTGCAAATTTAGAGCCTCCATTATAACCTAAACTGTCACCGGCATCTCCAGAATAACCACCAATGCTTAGCACAAAGCCCTGATCGGGAGGGCCAATACTGAAAGAAGAATACCTGGCATGGCGTTCTACACCTTCGAAATCTCTCATAATTATATACAACTCCTGGGTTTCCTTTTGTGTGGTTAGATAATAAAGCGTTTCCAAGCCAATAAAAAAGTTACCATTTAAATCGCCAAAACCTTCGAGATAACTGGTCCAGTTACGATTGAAGTTTACAGTGCCATCTTGACGTCTCTGTATAACTGTCCAACCACCATCTTCAGTGTGTAGATCACAAGCAACCGAATCTTGCCGACTGCCATTGGCCATGGCAATTTTAAAAATACTTGCATAGCAGTCTTTGATTTCCATACACGATTCTGGCAGTTGGTTAGAACTAAATGAGCATAGGTTTTAAGAATGAAATCTTTTTGTATATGTCGATAGATGGGAACATCTTTACCATTGAAGCTCAAGAACATTGCTTGGGACCTTGATGCCATTGTATTGCTTAGCCAGTGAATTTCCAGAGCTGCAATAAAGGGAGAGGGGTGTGTTAGGGCTTTTTTGTAGTCATATGTGGGGATTTTATTTTTGTACCCTATGCCACACTGTGACATAGTTCAAATTAGCAATCTGCATAGCATCACATTTTGAATTTATCTAGTCTGTGCTGCCCAACTGGTTTTGACTTAATACACTACACCTTACCATTGGTCTGCGGGCGCCTCAAGTGAATGTTTCTTGTTATTGCCTCCTGTAAGATAAAATTGTAAAATTATGGTTATTTTGTGAAACAATTAATTTAACTCTGAAAAAAAATAAGACAAGTAAGAAAAGGTCAAAAGTCGGGCCGGGCGAATATAGGATAACCTACACCACTATGAATATTTAGCCGAGCTACCGAAACAAAAAAGTTTATATTGCGAATTTATGTGAAGTAGATCGTACCAACTATGAACCAAGTAACTAAACCAAGTTATTAATAAACAAGTAAAAAAGCTGTAAGTTCGGCCGGACCGAACTTTTTATACCCTCCACCATTTGGTACAAATTTGGCAATTTTCAAAAAAAAATAAATAAAATAAAATCCGCTAAAAATTCTGTTAAAATCTTAAAAACACCGAATGCCTATACGACGACGTGGACCTGCAGAGGCAACTTTTGTCATAAGTTATTACAATATTTATATGCGAAACTTGAAGAAAAATCTGTTTATAATGTAGCTAAAATCATCAAAATACCGAATATAAGGAATAGCGTTATATGGGGGCTATACGAAGGCGTGGACCTTCACAGACAATTTTCTGTCGTAGGCTGTAGACTTCAAATACCAAATTTGAAGTAATTCCGGTGAAGAAGTTCGCTAAAATCATCAAAATACCGAATATCGGGAGGTATGAAGACGTGGACCTACATGGCTCATTTCTGTCTGAGAAGTTAGTATCCATTACGAACTTCAAATATAAAATTTGAAACAATTCCAGTAAATAATGTCGCTAAAATCATCAAAATTACGAAAATCGGAGGGGAACCGTTATAAGGGGGCTGTACGAAGACGTAGACCTACATGGCCCATTTTCTGTTTTGCACTGTAGTATATATTACGAGCTTCAAATACGACATCTATTCTCGACTATTTCGGTGGGTATTGTACCTAAAATCGTCAAAATTACGAATATAGGGAGGTACTGATATATGAGTCCTATACGAATACCTGGACCTGCATAGACAATTTTCTGTCACAGACCGTAGTTCCCACAACGAACTCTAAATACGTAATTTGAAACAATTCTGGTGAATAAAGTAGTTAAAATCATAAACATACTGAATATCGGGGCGTACCGTTATATGGGGGCTATACGAAGACGTGGACCCGCACTGATAATTTTCTGTCTTAGGCTGTAGTATCTATTTCGAACTTCAAATGCCAAATTTGAAACAATTCCGGTAAATAATGTCACTAAAATCATCAAAATACCGAATATCTGGAGGTACCGTTTCATGTGGGGGCTATATGAAAACGTGGACCTACATGGCCCATTTACGAACTTAACCTGCCTACTGGCAAAATATACATGTGTGCAAAATTTTAGCCTTCTAGCACAGTTCGTTCGAAAGATAGCGTGATTAAAACAGAAAGACGGACAGACAGACACACAGACAGACAGACGGACATGGCTAAATCTTTTTAGAATTTTACGCTCGTTACCGTGATACTGGCAGCGTAGCCCGACGTCGAGGAAGTGGACGGAAGAAAGCAGCAACATCAGCAGAAATGATTCGAAAAGTAAGGAAGCGACCCATTGAAAGTCCAAAAACAAAAACAGGAAGAAAATAGACTCAGAAGAGCTAAAGAGTTGCTTCGCTTGGCCGAAAGTGTCACCACTTTCTGTCGAATTTGGTTTTCTTCGATGAGAAAACATTTGTTGTCCAGCAGTTTGAAAATAAACAGAATGGTCGTGTTTACTAGCCAAAGAGGTCAGCTGAAAATGTGCACCTTCGGTTGACCACCTTAACTCAAGCGCCGGCCATGGTGATGGTGTGGGCCGCCATTACAGCCGATGGTCGCTCTCCGCTCGTATTAATCGACTGTGGCATCAAAATAAATGCCGAATGTTATCGCGAAAATATTTTGAAGGGTGTATTAAAGCCTTGGGCACGCAAATATTTTTTGCCGCAGGCCTTGGACATTCCAACAGGACTCACCCTCGAACTCAGCACGCACCACCCAAGAATAGTTACAAAATAAGGTTCTTCGCTTCATTTCCAGCGCACAATGGTCACTAAAATGCCGAATGTTATCGCGAAAATATTTTGAAGGGTGTATTAAAGCCTTGGGCACGCAAATATTTTTTGCCGCAGGCTTTGGACATTCCAACAGGACTCACCCTCGAACTCAGCACGCACCACCCAAGAATAGTTACAGAATAAGGTTCTTCGCTTCATTTCCAGCGCACAATGGTCACTAAAATCTTCGGATCTCAATCCGTTGGACTATTGTGTCTTGAATATTTTGGAAAGCAAGGTGTCGATCACCTCAAGCAAGCGCTTCGTCGGCAATGGGCTAAAATACCACAGAGCAACCTTCGGGCAGTGTGTGACGGTTTCATTAGCCGTTTGAAGGCCATAATTCGTGCCAAAGGTGACCAATTCTAACAAATCTAAACTTATTCTAAAATTTGATACTATTTCCGACATTTTTTGCTTTCAGTCAATAAATTAAAAGCAGTAAGTTCGGCCGGACCGAACTTTGAATACCCTTTACCATTTGGAAAAAAATTGGAAATTTTCAAAAAAAAACCCTAAAAAATTTTGTTGAATTTTTAAAAATACCGAATATAGCCATTATTTTGGGGTCTATACGACGTGGGCCCCACATTGACATTGTTTGTTATTATGAGCCATTACCATATTATAAACGGATATAATGTAGCATATTCAAAATACCGTATATACGGAGGTACCGTTACATCGGAGCTATACGAAGACGTGGACCCGCATAGACAATTTTCTGTCACAGGCTGTAGCATCCATTGCGAACTCTAAATAAGTAATTTGAAACTACTCCGGTGAATAATGTCGCTAAAATCATCAAAATACCGAATTTTGGGAGGTACCATTATAGGGGCCTATACGAAGACGTGGACCTGCATAGACAATTTTCTGTCACCGGCTGTAATCCCCATTACGAAGGGCAAATACGAAATTTTAAACAATTTCCGGTGAATAAAGTAGTTAAACTCATTAAAATTCCGAATACAAGGAGGTGCCGATATAGGGAGGCTATGCGAAAACCTGTTATATGGGGGCTATACGATATATTTGTCCTGTCTGCAGACTAAACACTGATCTGTTCAAAATTTTAGCTTCCTATCTTTATTCGTTTTGACTCTAGCGTGTGTTAGAAAAGACGAACGGGCATAGCTAAATCGTCTTAGAATTTTACGCTGATCAAGAATATATATACTTTGTTATGTCTACAATTATTCGATGAGGAATGACGAACTTAATATACCCTTGATACTGGTGGAGGGTATAAAAATTATTTGGAATTTATGAATTCCGAAAAATTTTGAAATCTTCTCATTCCCCAATGATGGAGAGTATCAAAAGTTGAGTCACAGAAGAGTATCGATCTCAATAATTTCTAATCATAATCAATGTCGGTCTACCTACCTTTTGCATCCATAATTTCGTTCAATTTTTGTACTTCTTTTTGATTTTTCTCCAACACGATTGCCATAGTCTGCAGCAAAGATTCTATGTTTTTTACGGTTATTTCCAAATTTCGAAGATTTTTCACATCCTGCTGATTTTTATACAAAACATTTGAAACTTCAAGCAATTTCGATTCGAAATTATTAATGCTTTGGCTAAACGTTTTTAAATTCACTGCGTTTTCAGCCCTACAAGGCCAATAAAAATATCAATTAATAAATATCGATTTAGATGTTTTTAGCAATTTTTACCCTTCAATAACATCTGGATCATTAATTGAATGCCCAGAAGCTTCCATATCAATAAAGATCTCATTACTTCCACTTGAGTGCGTTTTAATAATATTAACTGTAGCCAAAACTAATAGGATTTTGAATAATATAAACAAATGTTTGGACATTGTGCGGCGGCGGTATCGACAGAATAAGCTTCGGTTTCGGCAACCATTTATTCGAAACTGAATTTTAGAGATCTGCACAATGCAGTTAGGAGCGCACCTCCGTTTCATATTTGTACGTGTGTATATTTTTGCCAGTGATAATCCTGAGGTTATCGTTGATTTGTAATTGTTTTTTTAGAATTTTTGTCACATAAGCAAAATGTCCAGTTCATTAGCATATTTGACATCATATTACATTTCAGTTTATTATCAGATAAACAGTGGTGGAGATAAGTATTCGGTTAAATTTTACACATTAAAGTGGCAATAATAATAATAATAATAATAATAATAATAATAATAATAATAATAATAATAACAATAATAATAATAATAATAATAACAATAATAATAATGATAATAATAGTAATAATAATAATAATAATAATAATAATAATAATAATAATAATAATAATAATAATAATAATAATAATAATCATAATAATAATCATAATAATAATAATAATAATAATAATAATAATAATAATAATAATAATAATAATAATAATAATAATAATAATAATAATAATAATAATAATAATAACAATAATAATAATAATAATAATAATAACCATAATAATAATAATAATCATAATCATAATAATCATAATAATAATAATAATAATAATAATAATAATAATAACCATAATAATAATAATAATAATACTAATAATAATTAAAATAATAATAATAACAGTAATAATAATAATAATAACAATAATAATAATAATAATAATCATAATTATTGTAAGTATTGGATTTAGAGAGCCCTATTACTTTTACAACACACAACATACGTTTTTTACTAACTGCGATTAGTTCGCACACACAAGTACCAACATGTAAATATTAGCATTAAGTCTTTCCTTGTTAGCGTCTAAGTTGTAAATTGATCACTCAGAATAAAGAACTCGAACAGAACACAACAGTCTTTTAATTGGAACATCGGCAGCAGCACCAATAAAATATTCAACAGGTTATGGGCCCAGGAGAACTCTGAAGAGAAAAAAAATTAAATTGCCCAAAGACTAATTGAAAGTGAAATAAAGTGCCAAAAAAAATAAAATGAACATTAGAGAAACATTTTACCATTGTAAAAATCTGTGTTGTGTGTCAACATAAAGAAAAAATAATTTGAAAAACTGTGTGTCAGTTTTAAGTCGTGTGTCGACATCAAAATTAAAGAAAAATGTCTTATATCTTGAGCATAGAGAAATTGTCAGAAGACAATTATGAATCGTGGCATCTCCAGATGAAAGCCGTGCTGGTCCATCACGATCTATGGGAGGTGATCTGCGATGAAGAGGCTGCCGAAAAGACTTCTGAGTGGAAGAAGAAAGATGATAAGGCTATGGCAACAATTGTGTTAAGCATCACACCAGTGCAGTTGTCTCATATAAAAAACTGCAAAACAGCGAAAGATGCTTGGAAGAGCTTATCGGATATCCATCGACCAAAAGGGCCAATAAGAAAGGTACCATTATTTAAACAGCTACTGAATATGAAGATGACAGAGAACGAAGGCGTTCAAGAATACTTATCCCAATTCACGTCCGTCGTGGATAAGTTGGCAGAGGCAGGTATCGAGCTAGGCGAAGATCTATTGGTGATTATGATTCTCGCTAGCCTGCCAAAATCATTTGAAAATTTTGTGGTCGCTCTGGAATCTAGAGACAATTTGCCTAAGTTGAGTGCATTAAAAGTCAAATTGTCAGAAGAAAATGAAAGAAGAAAATCTTCAGTGGACAATGATGATGTAATTTCCACGAAAGCGTTTATGGCACACAAGAACCGAAATTCCAACAAAACCAACAAAAGAAATTAAAACGCAAACAGGCAAAACCCCAACAACAATGCAGGTAGCAGTCAGAATAGATCGCACACAAACAACAACGTAAAATGCTACAGTTGCGGTGGTAGAGGACATTACGCATCAAACTGTAAAAAGGCAGAGAAAAAGGGTGAGCAAGCGTACACAGTTTTGGCGTTCGTCGACAACAATTTAAATGACAACGTATGGTGTTTTGATAGCGGTGCTTCCTCACATTTATGTTGTAACCGTAACTTGTTTACAACATTTGAGGATCATCATGAAGTTATCTCCCTAGCTGACGAAAAAACAATTGAAGCAAAGGGAAGGGGGAGAGTTGTCATTAGCAAGGGCGACGTTGTGCTCAACGATGTGTTGTTTGTGCCGACCCTACAATGCAATTTCATATCCATAGGCAGAGTAGCGGTAAGACATGATGTGATTTTTGGAGAAAAATGCGCAAGAATCATGAACAAGGGAAAATAGTGTTGACTGCGAGGGGAAGGGGAAATTTGTTTTTGTACAACGAGCCCAAGAACAAATTATTTTTAGCTGATGCAACAAATGCAATGAAGTGGCATTACCGTTACGGTCATCTCAATGTGGACAGTCTGAGACAATTATCAGAAAAGCAGATGGTTAAAGGTATGAATGTGAAATTTCCAACAACAATTGATTGTACTGTGTGTATGAAAAGTAAATGTACTGGTAGGCCATTTACAAATGCAGAGACTAGGGCGTCTGAATTATTAGAAATTGTTCATACAGATATTTGCGGACCAATTAATGTATCATCGATTGGGGGAGCTCGTTACATATTGACATTTATAGATGACAAATCCCGTTATGTGTTTGTGTATTTTTTGAAAGCAAAGAGTGATGCGTTTGAGAAATTTAGGGAGTTTAAGAATCTTGCTGAAAAACAAACGGGACACAAATTGAAAATTGTTCGTTCTGATAACGGTACAGAGTTTGTGAATGCAAAGTTTAAGAATTTTATGAGGGAATATGGAATTGTTCATCAACTCGCAGTGCCTTACACACCACAGCAAAATGGGGTTGCTGAGCGCATGAACAGAACGTTAGTCGAGATGGCACGCGCTATGTTGGTTGCTTCCAATGTTGAAGAATATTTATGGGCAGAAGCAGTAAATACGGCTGTGTATTTACGCAACAGGTCACCAACAAGAGCATTGAATGGGAAAACACCTTTTGAAATGTGGTATAAGAGGAAACCAAATGTGAGTTATTTTAAGGTATTTGGTTCACTTGTAATAGCGTTAGACAAAACTCATCATCACAAGTTTAGACCAAAGGGCAAAGAATATTTATTGGTAGGCTATTCTGAAACATCAAAGGGATATCGTTTGTATGACAAAACAACGAGAAACGTAATAATAAGTCGAGATGTTTATTTTATTGAGAACACGAATGAAAAAGAAAAAGTGACTTTCGATATAGAGCCTAGAGTAGAAAAGTCAGATGTTCAGAAAATTGAAATCAGGCCACCAAGTGATGACAGTTTGAGTGAGTTTGAGTCTGCAGAAGAACAAGATGATGTATTTACGGAGGCATCAGTTGCCAAACGAGGTCAAGGTAGACCAAAAATTATTCGCACAGGACGTCCAGGTAGACCAAGAAAGGAATACAATACTTTGAATTTGATACAAGCTTCAGAGATAAAGGTACCTGAAACAGTAAAAGAAGCATTAGCTAGCGAGCATTCTCAGTGTTGGTGGGATGCTATGCAGGAGGAGTATCAAGCGTTAATTGACAATGGGACATGGGAATTAACAGATTTACCTAAGGGACAAAAAAGTGTGGGTTGTAAATGGGTATTTGCTCTCAAAAGAGGCAAAGATGGACTAATAGAAATATTTAAAGCAAGGTTAGTACCAAAGGGTTGTGCTCAAGAGTACGGTGTTAATTACACAGAAACTTTCTCTCCAGTTGTCCGTTATGAAACCATTAGAATGTTAATTGCCTTAGCAGCGCAGTATGAGTTGCATTTACATCAGATGGATGTTTCAACTGCATACCTAAATAGCGAATTGTCCGATGATGTATATATGTCCCAACCTCCATGTTTTGTAGATAAAGCTAATCCAAAGAAAGTCCTTAAGTTAAAGAAAGCGCTGTATGGTTTAAAACAGTCAGGTCGTCGTTGGAATAAAACATTAGATAGTTTTTTTCATTTACATTCATGTGTTCGATCAACTCATGTTGCTGAACACATCAAACCGTCTCGAACGCTCATGTTTGATTGTAAGTGAAGTGATTCAAACTGAGCGTTCGATTCGATCCGAAGCGAAAACGGTCATTTCATTCAGATCAAACTAAACGACTGCATCAACAAAAATCATGTAAGAAACCGAGTATGCTTGAATTTTTGCATACTCGTTGCAGCCCTCTGGTCTGTATGTCAGACGAAAAGGGAAAAACATTGATTTAATAGCTGTATATGTGGACGATTTACTTATTGCTACATCAAGTTTATCTGATATGGACAGCATCAAGAGGGAAATATCAAATAGAGTAAAAGTTGTTGATAAAGGTCAAGCCAAGAAATTCCTAAGTATTGAAATTGAAAGGAATAGCTCCACAGGTGAAATTAGTATCCATCAGAGAAGTTATATTGAAGAACTTTTAGAAGAATATGGAATGATGGAATGTAGAACTGTCTCTACCCCCTTGGAAGTGAATTATCAAGTTGCCTGTGAGAAGACAGATTGCAAGAAGGTTAATTCAGCAGAATACCAATCATTAGTAGGTTCATTAATGCATTCGGCTATTTGTACCAGACAAGATATTTTACACTCAGTGTGTAAATTATCACAAAGGAACTCCGATCCTCACTATGAACATTTATCAGCAGCAAAACGGATATTAAAGTATTTAAATAAAACGAAAAATATTAAGATTCATTTCAGTAAGCCTGAAGAACCGTTGAAATGTTTTGTTGATGCTGATTGGGGAGGAGATTCTAGTAACCGAAGGTCATATACAGGGTATACGTTTATGTTAGCCGGGGGAACATTTTCATGGGAATCCAAAAAGCAAGATACAATAGCGTTGAGTAGTACAGAAGCTGAATATATGGTTTTATCTTCTGCGTGTAAAGAAGCTGTGTACTTAAGAAGATTGCTTCATGAGATTGGGTTATATTGTCCAGACAAAATAGAAATAAATGGAGACAATTTAGCAGCAATACATTTAGTGAAAAACCCAGTGTATCACAACAGGACGAAACACATTGATATTCGTTATTATCATATAAGAGACGTGTTTGAAAATGGCTTAATAGATTTGAAATATTGTCCAAGTAATGAAAATGTAGCAGATATTCTTACGAAAAATTTAACTAAAGTTAATCATGTGAAATGTGTTACTTATTTAGGCTTACAGTAGAATAAGACATGAATTCTATAAGTATTTTGTAATGTGTTTACAATAAGTAGAATGTAAGCTAAATAAAGAATTTTATAATTTTATTTTATGTATGTGTGTTGAGGAGGAGTATTGTAAGTATTGGATTTAGAGAGCCCTATTACTAGAACAGTGTGGCTTGTTTGTTCGGGATACCGTAGTATTTTGTTGTTGCAAAATGGTCAGGCTTATCCCTTCATTGTTGTTTTTATAAAAACAGCGTTTGTTTATTAGTGGAGAACGATGGTAATGTTTACCAGGGGGTAAGGCAGGGAATACCTAGGTTTCGGAAAGAGCCACCAATCCTCATCAGTTCCCTTGTTTTTTGTCTGGGATATTCTCCCCAGAAGTTATTTTAAAAAATATAACTTCTATTCCCTGCCTTACCCCCTGGTAAACATTACCATCGTTCTCCACTAATAAACAAACGTTGTTTTTATAAAAACAACAATGAAGGGATAAGCCTGACCATTTTGCAACAACAAAATACTACGGTATCCCGACCAAACATGCCACACTGTTCTATTTGTAGACAGACAAAACCAACTTACATGGTTATGCTACTTCGTTCAGGTTGAACGAAAGCATAACAAGTGGAGAAAGATGTAAATGTTTATAAGTGCGGTTGTAAGATTTAGAAGACTTTCCAAAAGAATTTTAGTTTTATTTAATTCTTTGGTTCCTCTTCTATTGAGCTTACAATCTCGTCACTTGGGTAAAAAATGTTTTTTGTCATAGAAGTTATATTTTTTAAAATAACTTCTGGGGAGAATATCCCAGACAAAAAACAAGGGAACTGACGAGGATTGGTGGCTCTTTCCGAAACCTAGGTATTCCCTGCCTTACCCCCTGGTAAACATTACCATCGTTCTCCACTAATAAACAAACGTTGTTTTTATAAAAACAACAATGAAGGGATAAGCCTGACCATTTTGCAACAACGAGCCCTATTACTTTTACAACACACAAGTATACAAAGTATACAAATTTCCTTTGTTCAGAGACTCAACAATGAAATTTGATTTAGAATAATTCCTACTTTGACACTTACTCCGAAAATGGAAAGGGAGATTTTGGCTCGTATTGGAGACCACCTTAAGTTAACATTAAAAAAAAAACATAACTTTCCCATATAGTAGACACATTTTGAAATTATTTTTCTTACAAACTGTTGTACATACAGGGTGATATAAAAACTGCAACAAAGTAAAACGCCATAATTTTATTATTATACCCTCCACTATAGTATGGAGGGTATATTAAGCTTGTTATTCCGTTTGTAACACCTCGAAATATACATTTTAGACCCCGCAAAGTATATATATTCTTGTTCAACATAAAATTCTATGTCGATTTAGCGATGCCCGTCCGTCTATCCGTCAGTGGAAATAACTCTAGCCTCCCGATATTGGGTATTTTGATGATTTTATTGACATTATTTATTTATATTTGGTATTTGAAGTTCTTAATGGATACTACAGCCTACAGCCAGAAAATTGGCTGTGCAGGTCCACGTTTTATAACCCCCATGATACCTATATTCGGTATTTTGATGATTTTAGCTACATTATAAACAGATTTTTTTTCAAGTTTCGCATTTGAATATTGTAATAGCTTATGACAAAAGTTGCCTATGCCGGTCCATGTCGTCATGTGTCGAATGTGCTTAGCGGTATTTTAGCCCTTTCCCGGCGAAGCGCTTGCTTAAGGTGATCGACACTTTGATATTTTTTAGTGTCAACCTTGCTTTCCAAAATACTCCACACACAATAGTCCAACGGATGGGTATCTGGAGATTTTGACGGCCATTGTGCGCTGGAAATGAAGCGAGGAACCTCATTTTGTAATGTGTTTTAAAAGTCTGGTTGTCTTCAAATTACACACATCATAATGTCGGAAATAGCATCACATTTTTATTAACCCGAAATCTGGAGAGAAGACACTGAGATTTTATCTGATCAGTACCAAATTTACAGAAAAGACAGATTAAATAAAATGGGTGGAGGAGTTTTTATTGCCGTTCATAATTCCATTGCCTCAGAACGCATTTTGGTTACAGAACACCCTACGATTGAATTTGTTTGTGTTAAATTAAAGTATCTAAATTGTAATTTTATTATAACTTGTTCATATATTCCTCCAAATTCAGACATGGATACTTATCTTATGCATTCAGCCTCAATAAAAGAGGTTTCATTATATCATTCCTCCAACGCGGAAATGATTTGTCTGGGGGATTTCAATCTGCCTAATCTAGCATGGGTCCCAGGAGAAAATATTGTAGATTATGTACCAGTATCTTCTATAGAACTTTCTACTGAGATGTCATCTTTTTGGGAAATCTTATTTGAGCAATGTCTTTATCAAATAAATTCTATCTATAATGCAAAAGGTAAATTATTAGATTTAATTTTTTCTTCTTCCTTAACTTCTTCTGTGTGCAGAATCCCTCCTTTCTCAGAGCCAGAGGATATGTATCATCCTACTCTTATGGTAGCCATTGAACTTAGTAACATTCAAACAAAACATACTTCATCTCAAAATAAGTCACGTAAGTTAAACTTTGGCAAGACTAACGTTGATCTGTTGCGTTCTACATTGTCCAATATAAATTGGTGTTTTGAAGGTAATTTGGATTTTCGTATTTCAAGCTTTTATAAAATAATTAACAATGCATTAGAAACCTCAGTCCCACTTGTGAAAATGTGCTGTGATAGGGGTCCAGTTTGGTTTACCCCACAACTTAGGCGCTTACGTAACATAAAAAGCAGGTTATTTAAAAAATTTAAAAAAATCAATTCTACCATAAACCTTACTAATTATACAAAAGCTAGAAGTTTATACAACACTGAAAATTCTAAATGTTACTCTGAATACCTAGTCAAGATGAGAAACAGCCTCTATAAAAATCCTAAGAACTTTTATAAATTCGTTAATTCAAAAAGAAAAGTTCGTGAATTTCCCAGTAGTATGCGATTCAGAAGTAGAGAATCGTGTGAACCTAAGGAAATAGCAGACATGTTTGCAGATTTTTTTCAAAGTACGTATTCCAAACATTCTAATAAAGGTGTAAAATACTCTTATAGTATTAATAAACTTAATCATTTTCCTCATATTATTCTCACATCAGATGAAGTGTTGAAAGGTCTACTTTCATTGAAATGTTCTAATTCACCGGGTCCAGATGGTGTACCGTCTTTCATTTTAAAGGCATGTGCACATGAACTATATCTTCCTCTAACAAGTATTTTTAATACTTCGTTAACCCTAGGGTATTTTCCTCTTATTTGGCGTTCGAGCTTTATTATTCCATTGCATAAAGCTGACAGTAGATGTGTTATTGAAAATTATAGGGGCATTGCAAAACTAAGTGCAATTCCCAAACTTTTTGAGCGTTTGGTTACACAACGAATAACTCATTTCGTTACATCTATAGTATCACCGCACCAGCATGGTTTTGTTAAAGGAAGATCAACTTTGACAAATTTATTAGAACTGGTCTCTAATGTTCACACTGGATTCTCAAAAAATCTCCAAACTGATATTATATATACTGATTTCAGTAAAGCTTTCGATACGGTGGTGCATAATTTGTTAATATATAAACTTGACTTAATGGGTTTCTCTACAATTCTCCTAAAATGGATATCGTCTTATTTGCATGACCGTACCCAAAAGGTATCTTTTAATAATACTCTCTCTAAAAATATTACAGTATTTTCTGGTGTTCCTCAGGGTAGCCATTTAGGTCCACTACTTTTTGTACTTTATTTAAATGACCTTCCATCTATTATTCGTAATTCAAAAATATTAATGTTTGCTGACGATGTTAAACTTTTCTGCACTCTTGATTCCCACAACGAATCGCTTAATCTGCAACAGGACTTGTATTCTCTTGCTCATTGGTGTAGTGTCAATGGAATGTCATTAAATTTAAAAAAATGTAAAAAATTGTCCTTATATAGATCTCAGCATGTGAACTACAACTATTTCATTGGTTCATACAAACTGGATAATGTTGAGTCGTTTCTTGATCTTGGTGTCATATTAGATAATAAATTACGTTTTAATTTACATATTGAGTCTTGTGTTAATAAAGCAAAATCTTTACTAGGGTTTATAAAACGTTGGTCAAAGGAATTCGACGATCCTTATGTAACCAAACGCTTATTTATCAGCCTTGTTCGACCTACTTTAGAATATGGCTGCGTACTTTGGAGTCCTTTTTATAAAATATATTCAAAAAAGATAGAGTCTGTACAGGTTCAATTTCTTTTGTTTGCTCTGAGAGGTTTAGGATGGAATTCAAATGAACTTCTCCCACCTTATGAGAATCGGCTTAAACTTATCGATCTTCCTACACTAGAGAAAAGGAGATTAATGCTTAGATGTATTTTTATCATAAAACTTTTGCGTGGTCAAATTGATTCTGAGTTTTTAACTGGTGAAATTAAATTCAATATCCCCTCGCGAATTACGCGTTATTACATACCACTTAAACTAACATTAGCAAAATCGAACTATGAAATAAATAATCCTCTCCGAAGTTTATGTGATGATTATAATAAATTATACAACACGATTTCTTTGTGTGAACCCTTGCATGTCATAAAAAACTCTATCCTACGTTCCTAGTTTATAAAATAGTTGCCAGACTTAGTTTCTGTGATTTAGTATTTGTATTGTTTAGTTTTATTGTATTTTAGTTTAGATACTTTAATTATTTTAATAGTTAAACCGGCTGATGTTCTAATGTAGCCGGTTTCCCAAGTCTACTAACCCCCTATAATCCGGACTATGGAGTGTACGTGCTCCCTACGTTATGGGGAGGTGGCCCTCTCGGTCGGCAGGGGCGGGAAAGTGAGGCGTTGGGAACGATCGAAGAAAAAAAAAAAAAAAAAAAAAAAAAAAAGATGGAATGTACCTTTCCTTCTGGTACCTTCTCCACAAAGTGTCCAAATAGCTAGACTGAAGTTCATAAGACGTGAAATTAACATCCGATTCCATTCGTTCTTGGCACACCTCAATATTTTTATCAATACATGATCTATTATAAAGATGATAGAAATCGGAGCATTCCTTCTGGTACCTCCCCCACAAAGGGTCAAAGTTTCGAATAACAAAAATCCAAAAAAAAAAAATCCCGGTTCTCTTCATATTTCACACATCCCATCATTTCCTCTTACACAAGAAACCAAACGGCAGGACCTCCTATTTCAGCATTGCTCACAATATGGCAAATGAGAATCGATAGAGAATACGTGTGCTTTGCTTATACGTTTTCGTCCGAGTCCATAACTGTTCTACTTCATTGAAATTGTGTTGAATATTATATGGGATGGGTCTTGGCGAGTTAGAGCTTATATTATAATGATTACCTTTCATAATAATTAATTTTTTTTGCCTTTAAAATTTTTCTAAGAGACCTAACGAATACTTTAATTTGTCATAGATTTTAGTGTTACAGACCCTCTTTAATGTGATTTTCATTCCAGCTTTTCCGCCATGGTCCACGTACACCGGTCGATACCTATCCAAATGATCCATATATAAATGAGACATTCTTTCCATACGGCTGGGGACATTTAACTAATGTAAGTAGTTGTCATTTTATGGTTAAAACTGAGAAAATATAATATTATCTCTTTTTCATGGATAGGATGCGAAAAAGGAATTATTTAAAATTGGCAATGCATTGGCCAAGAGATACCAGCAGCTGTTGAAGCCGCACTATAAACCCGATGTAAGAAAAATTTCAAGTTCGTTCGAAATGGGACTGTCAATTTAATTTGATAACTAATATTTCTTTAGCTTATTTATGCCCAATCATCGGCCTCACCACGCACCCTGATGTCAATGGCCACTGTATTGGCTGGCATGCTGCCACCTGTAAATACTCCAATGGAATGGAATTTTAAGCTGAATTGGCAACCCATACCCATTGTTTCAATACCGGAGGAAATGGATATTGTAAGTGATTAAAGTCATTAAATTCAGGTTATGTTGAAAACGGTGAGGTAGACAGGGGGACTAAAACATAAAGTTTACAAATGACAAGTTGTGGTGAATCAGAGGTGTATATTACTACCACACACAAAGCACATTAGGGAGGCTACATTACACATCCTATTAGAATTATGGGTACCATGAATTTTTCACATTTACAGGGTGAGATAAAAAACTGCAACAAAGTCAAACGCCATAATTTTTACATTTTTTTTAAATGTTATTGAATGAAAGCAAAAAATGTCGGAAATAGCATCAAATGTTAGAATAAATTCAAATTTGTTCGAATTGGTCACCTTTGGCACGAATTATGGCCTTCAAACGGCCAATGAAACCGTCAAATCCTGTAAGAATGTTGCTCCGCGGTATTATGGCCCATTCCCGGCGAAGCGCTTGCTTGAGGTGATCCACACTTTGGTATTTTTTAGTGCCAACCTTCATTTTTTAACCATTCTTGGCTGGCGCGTGCTGAGTGCGATGGTGCTGAGTCCTGTTGGAATGTCCAAGGTCTGCGGCCAAAATGTTTGGCTTTATCAAGTCGTTTCGAACCATTTCTCCTAATTTTGCTGTTTTCTTCCTTTCACTTCTTTGACGTCGGGCTACGCTACCAATGTCACGGTAACGAGCGATGGTACGTGACAAAAAAGATATATTCACATTTAAATGCTGGAGTGCTCTATCGACAGCTACTTGTGGTTTTCCAGCCAAATATAAAGAAATCACACTATCACGCTTGAATTCCATCACGAATAACTTTTTTTCTGGAAAATTCTCACCAAAATGCTTTTGTACGCCCGTAAGCAATATAATGAGCTGTCATTGGAATAATTTTAACAGCTGTCCGACGAGTAGCTTGGAAATTACAGCAGTGTGAAATTGGTTGCAGTTTTTTCATCTCATCCTGTATATGTTTCATCGGATTTGGTGTTAAAGTCCACTCCACAACAAGGATATTTCATACCGGACATCAGATACAGCTCGAAAATACCTCCGCCAAATTTCATCGAAATCGGTTCAGATTTTTATATACCTCCGATATTAATCTTTGTCCGATTTTACGGTTATTTCCCACCATATATGTAGTATCAGCCCAAACTGGATTGATTTTTATACCCTCCAACACGGTGTTGAGGGTATATTGAATTTGTCATACCGTTTATAACACCTCGAAATAAACATTTTAGACCCCACAATTTAGTGATGTCCGTCCGTTTGTGGATATCACTTTAGCTTCCGAACGAAATGAAGTAGGTTGGTAAATTTTACTCAAATGTACATTATGTCTGCCGGACTATCGGAATTAAAAATGGGCAATGTAGGTCCACGTTTTGGTATAGCCCCCATATAACGGTACCTCCCTATTTTCGGTATTTTGGTGATTTAAGCGACATTATTCACCGGAAATGTTGCAAATTTGGTATTTGAAGTTCGTCATAAATACTAAAGCCTCTGACAGAAAATTATCTGTGCAGGTCCACGCCTTCATATAGCACCCATATAACAGCACCTCCCGATATTCGGTATTTTGATGATTTTAGCGACATTATTCACCGGAATTGTTTCATATTTGGTAGTAGAAGTTAGTAATGGATACTACAGCCTAAGACAGAAAATTGTTTGTTCAGGTCCATGTCTTCGTACAGCCCTCTGGCAAAGGTACCCCCCCGATAGTTCCCAAATTGTGACTATTCTAAAACCATAACACGTATTCAAATAAAGTTCGCATACATTTCCAATATTCCCTTTTTTTGTTACGGGAGCTCTACTAAATACACATAGTGGTGTAGCGTATCATATAGTCGGCCCTCCCGATTTTTGACCTTTCCTTACTGGTTCAAATAAAGTTTTTATACCCTACAACACTATGTGTTGGGGGTATTATAAGTTTGATTGGGCCAAAAATTATGTAACACCACGAAATATTGATTTCCCACATAGGAAAGTATATATGGATCTTCCTATCTCGCCGAGCTGAGTCGATCTAGCTATGTATGTCCGTCCGTCCGTCTGTCCGTCTGTCCATGTTAATTTGTAATCACTCTACAGGTCGCAATTATGGTCCGATCTTCACGAAATTTAAAATGGAGGTGGGGCTAGGGTCAGAATAGAACCCTATTTCTTTTGGTGATGATCGCATAATATTTAGGGGTTGAAATGGACCAAAAACTGAAAAAATTCCTGATTTTGCACTTGCTCTACAGGTCGCAATTATAGACCAATCGACGCGGAATTTCGCATGTAGCTAGAGTTTAGGGCTGGCAAGAAGCCTACCCATTTGGGTGGTCATCGGATAATATTTAGCGGGTAAAATAGACCATATCTTTTTGTTGAAAAAATTCAAAATTTTTCATTAAACCGCGAATATTTTAAATCCCGGCGAATCACAAAGCCATGACAAGGTTACTTCTGATCTTTACATTGATGTTAACATCCAACAAAACGGATATATAGAAAATATGTGTGATATATATGTTTATCAAAGAAGATATGCTTGAAAAATCTCTTATATATCGAGAACGGCTGAACTGATTTCGACATTTCTCATTAATTCAGAATGGCCTCTTGGCAGGAAAGAAAAAACGTCTGAAAAATCGCATAAAAATATCTCTCTAAAGATAAAAATATTGATTTTGTAAAATTTTCTCATATTTTTTCAATTTTGTCATATTTTTGGCATATTTTCATTTTGAATTAAACATTTGGTAATATTTCTACAGCTAACAAAACTAAGTAGTTAGGATATGAGGATATCATATACAGATCGCATTTATGGCCCGATCCTTACGAAATTTTGCATGGAGATAAGATGAGGGTCAGAATAAAAGCCTATTCTTTTTGGAGATGATCGCCATATATTTAGGGGTTGAAATGGACCAAAAATATTGGTTTCAGATCTAGGAAGACCATTTACGTGCAACATCTACCAATAAATTGGAAATGAGCAAATTAGTTTAAGTTGCTATTATTCGAAAATTAGAGAACGGAACCTGATGGTTTTCTTTTATTATTTGTCACAATATCTTGTGGAATTCTTTCGAGTATCTCGCCTATATAAACTGTATCGTTTATAACAGTGTTGTAGGGTATTCAACGGTCGGCCCCGCTCGACTGTAGCCTTTGCTTACTTGTTATGTATTTTTTGTGTTATTTAAATGACGCCTAAAATTATGCTTCATTTTAAATAAACAATTTCATTAAAATCGTGCATTAGAAATTAATATACATTTTATGAATTATTTACTTCTTTCCAGTGGTTGCGCATGAAAGTCCCATGTCCACGTTATGATCAAGCGCTTAATGAAGTTTTACAATTGCCACAAGTGAAGCTGGAAATTGACGACCATAAAAGCCTTTTTCAGGAATTATCGAAAATTACAGGCCTAAATATTACCACAGCAGCGGATATTACTTCACTTTACATAACGCTCTTGGCAGAGGTAAAAAGGCTTGAAAAAAAAAAAACAAATTTCAGTTCTTAATTTAAATTCATCCTAGCAATCTTATGGTGTGGATTTACCCTCCTGGACAGAAGATTATTATCCCGATCGTATGCAATTTATGGCAAAACAAAGTTATATCTACAATGGCTATACCACGGAAATGCAACGCCTAAAGGGTGGACCATTTTTGGAGAAAATCTTTGGACAGATGTTGGCCAAAGAAAATGGCACCCTTCTACCAGAGGAGAGAACAATGTTCGTGTATTGTGCCCACGATTGGACAATAACAAATGTTCTGTTGGCTCTCAAGGTGTGGCAAAGACAAATGCCAAGATTTTCAGCTTTAATTGCTTTTGAGTTGCATCAAAATTCGGAGACTAATGAATATTATGTGGAGGTATACGAGTATTTTATTATTTTGGGGAATCATTGTTATATTTTGTTATTTTTTTAAATATTTTGTATTTTTTTCGTTTTACAGATTTATTTCCAAAATGATCCCCAATTGGAACCACAACCCTTAACCATACCTGGCTGTAGTTTTCAGTGTCCTTTGCATAAATTATTGGAACTAACTGAAGATGTTATGCCAAGTACTCCATATGAAGAAATGTGTAAACTGAAGTAAATATAAATATATTTCATCAATTAAAAAGTGGTTAAATTATATTTTTTTATTTAAGAAGATTAGAATAAAACATGGAAACATCACATAAAAAATGTATAATTTTACAATAATTACTCTTTAATAAGGATATTTCCTATGTTTACCGATGCTACACGAAAACGGGACAGAAACCACTATTCCTTCGAATTTTTCGAAGTAGGGAACGAGATACACCCATATACAGGGTTGCCCATAATCGACGGATCCATGTTTTTTTTTTTTTTTTAAAACAAAGAAAAAAATAAAAATTTGGCGGTTGGCAATGTTAATCATTTAATTTGTTCAAAGTAGATTTGTTTACATCAATTTTTGTATATGATATCACTCAAATGGCCGCCTCTGGCGTTGATGACGTTTTGTGCCCTTTTTGCTGCATTTTCCATCGTTTTTGCCAACATTTCGGCCGGAATAGCGGCTATTTCTTCACGAATGTTGTCCTTGAGCTCTTCTACGGTCCTTGGCTTGTTAACGTAAACCTTTGACTTCAAATATCCCCACAAGAAGAAGTCAGACGGCGTCAAATCGGGCGAACGCGGTGGCCAGTCCAAATCACCACTTTTCGACATCAAACGGCCCGGAAACAAATTCTTCAGAAAATCGATTGTTATGCGACTTGTGTGCGGTGGAGCGCCGTCTTGTTGAAACCAGAACTGCCTCATACGCTTTCGACGAATAATTGGCATCACAAAATTGGTCATCGTGTCGCGATAACGCTCCTGATTGATGGTAACAGCAAGGCCATTTTCATTTTGGAAGAAAAACGGCCCACTGACCGTTTTCGCACTAATGCCGCACCAAACTGTGTCTTTTTCGCCATGAAGAGGCACTTCTTGAATCTCCTAAGGATTTTCAGTGGCGTAAAAAGGGCAATTTTGCTTATTTACGGTCACATTCAATGTGAAATGGGCTTCATCGGACATGATAATTTTGTTCCAAAATTTCTCGTCATCTTCGGCCATTTCGATGACTCTTTGGGCCCTTTCCAATCGACGAGGCTTGTCCGCAGGCAACATCTTTGCGTCAATTGAATTTTGTACGGGAACAAATGCAAATCAATGCTAATAATCCGTTGTAAAGTGGACCGAGCCATGCCCAACTGCTGAGAACGGCATTTTTGGGATGTTCTTGGGGACCTCTCAACACTGGCTCGTACGACAGCGATATTCTCGGCCGATCGCCTTAGTCGACTTTTTATGGTCTTTAGAAAGAGCCTTACCAGTCGAAAATTTTTCGTATAAACGCTTAATGGTGTTCTTAGAAGGCGCACTTCTCACATTTTTTAATGTTTTAAAAGCACGTTGAGTTTTCACAATTGACTTCTTCTGTTGAATGTAAATTTCAACTATTTCAGAGCGCTCGCGTGGCGTGTATTGGTTCATGGAAAAAATCTGTTTGGACTGACGCTTCAAACTCGGTATGTCCTTAAGCGATGTGACATCTCTGTCAAAAGTTATGGCGTTGCCAGATGGTTTGTCCCAGAAAAAATTGGTGATAATTGTGCCAGATTTAGATTTGTTGAGCTCTCATATATATCTTCCTCCCATTTCAGGTTTAATGATCGATATCAGATAATATAGAGTGAATTTTGGCAACGTGTGATATCAGATAATATAGAATGCAATTTAGCCTAGAAGCAAGTTTTGCTAAAACGGATTACTTATATTTTACCCGATTTCATTTTAAACATTCTCAAAGTTTTAATATGCTCTCCGAAGCACCATATATTTTACAGCTTTCTACAGCTTTCTTTTTTTTTCAAAGACTTCTAATACAATTTGATTTGAAATATTTTTGGATTTGACACTTTCCTTATCATATAAATTTTGTTGGGAGATTTACACTCAGTTTTACTCCGAACTCTAAATACTCTCTACGATTAGAAAGGTACTTGCTAAATGTAAGAAAAAACTCCGTTGAAAATGATATAATTTTTAATTTCCAAAATTCCGATAATCTGGTGTTACAGTTATATGGGCCTATACGAAAACGTGGACCTCTATAGAGAAAGTGGTGTATAGTACAAATTCCAAATACCGAGCTTCAAATAATTCACTTACGAAGACATCGATCTGTGCAGGATATGATTTGTTATAGCAGGTAGAACCCATTACGAACTCCAAATATTAAATTTTAATATTTACAGGGTGAGATGAAAAAACTGCAACCAAATTCAGACTGCTAAGCCACTCGTCCGACAGCTGTTAAAATTATTCCAGTGTTTGCAAGCGTACAAATGCATTTTGGTGAGAATTTTCCAGAAAAAAAATTATTCGAAATGGAATTCAAGCGTGATAGTGTGATTTCTTTATATTTGGCCGGAAAAATACTAGTGGCTATCGTTAGAGCACTCCAGCATTTAAAAGTGTCTCGTACCATCGCTCGTTATCGTGATACTGGTAGCTTAGCCCGACGTCAAGGAAGTGGGGGGAAGAAAAGAGCAAAATCAGCAGAAACGGTTCGTAAAGTAAAGAAGCGACTTTATCGAAACCCGCGCCGCAGTGGCCGAAAATGGCTCGTGAGGTGAATATATCGCAATATTCCATTCGGCAAATATTGAAAAATTAGCTCGGGGTAAAGCCATTGAAATGCAAGAACTTACAAATTTCCTTATACCAATCCGTTGGACTATTGTGTCTGGAGTATTTTAGAAAGCAAGGTGAGCCCTAAAATATATGAAAGTGTCGATCGCCTCAAGCAAGCGCTTTGCCGGGAATGGACCAAAATATTCAAAAATTTGATGCTATGTCCGATATGTTTTGTTTTCATTTAATAAAATTAAAAAAAATGTAAAAATCATGGCGTTTGACTTTGTTGCAGTTTTTATACCCTCCACCAAAAAAAGTATGGAGGGTATATTAAGTTCGTCATTCCGTTTGTAACTCATCGAAATAATCATTTTAGACCCAACAAAGTATATATATTCTTGATCAGCGTAAAATTCTAAGACGATTTAGCGTCCGTCCGTCCGCCCGTCCGTATGTCCATCTGTTGTAATCACGCTACAGTCTAAACGAATTAAGATAGGAAGCTAAAATTTTGCACAGATCTCTCTTTTGTCTGCAGGCAGGTCAAGTTCGAAGATGGGGTATATCGGTCCACGATATCGTATAGCCCCCATATAACGGTACCCCGATATTCGGTATTTTGATGATGTTAGCCACATTTTTCAATGGAATTGTCTGAAATTCCACAAAAGGAGTTTCTTGTGGGCATTTTACCCCCTCAAAAAGAATTGTCTATATAGGTCCCCGATATCGTATATCCCCCATATAACTATACCCCCCGATATTCGGTATTTTGATGATGTTAGCCACACTTTTCAATGGAATTGTCTTAAAATCCACACAAGTAGTTCCTTGTGAGTACTTCACCCCCTAAGAGAGAATTGTCTATACTGGTCCACAATATTGCATATCCCCCCGATATTCGGTATTTTTATGATTTTACCCACATTTGTTATCGGAATTGTCTGAAAATCCACACAAGGAGTTCCTCGTGGGTACTTTATACCTCGACAGAGAATTAGCTATATAGGTACACGATATCGTATAGCCCTTATATAACGGTACCCCCGATATTCGGTATTTTGATGTTTTTAGCCATATTTTTTAACGGAATGGTCACAAGGGGTTCTTTGTACACAAGGGGTTTACCCCCCGACACAAGGGGTTTACCCCCCGACAGAGAATTTTCTATATAGGTTAACGATAACGTATAGCCCCCATATAACGGTACCCCGCGATATTCGGTATTTTGATGATTTTAGCCACATTTTCCAATCGTATTGTCTGAAAATCCTGAAACGGAATTTTCTATATATATATCGGCACCTTCCGATATTAGGTATTTTAAAGATTTTAACAGAATTTTCAATGGATTTTATTATTTTAAATAATTTCTCATTCGTTCCAAATGGTGGAGGGTATTCAAAGTTCGGCCCGGCCGAACTTACTGCTTTTTTACTTGTTTTATTTCACCCTGGGAGCTTATACAAATCTTAACCGTTCTCGATAAAATTTTGCAAATGTTTTCCTGAGCTGTATTTGATATATTTCTCCGAATATCGTTGGTGCGAAGTGCATTTTATGGCAGTGGAGGAGAAATGTAACAAACCGGATGAACAATATATATGTGAGCTATATCTATACCTGTACCGATTTCCACCAAATTGGACTAGGCTCAATGTATATGCTCCAAATTTCTCCCTATTTGGGCTAAAGTTATACATTTGGTGCACAATAAAAGGCAAATCGGACGATGATATATATGGGAGCTATATCTAAATTTTGACAGATTATCTCCATTTCCAATAGAGTTCGTCCTTACAACCTCTACTTTTTTACAAAATTACATCGTCAAACGGACGCGCATTCCTAAATTAAGTTTGATTCTATGAAGATGCTTAAAAGTAGCTATGGGCCAATATCGCTTCCTTCTCCATATTACAAACAAATGCACAAGGACATAATGCCCCTACCACTATGTGTGGTGTAGGTTATAAACAGCTGGTTCACATTATTAATGGGTTACAATTTGAAATTTTTAAAAAATTCGAATCAAACTGCAAGTGATTCCTATTGGAAAATTGTAAAGCTTCCTACTAAATGAGCTTCCTACTAAAGTGACCGAAAACGACATTTCCTTCTGGAGAGTCAATTGACAGATATCTCATATTCCTTACCCTAATGCGCATTAATGTACATACATATGTATTGCGATTGTCATTTCAAATTAATTTTATTATAATTGCACCTCAATTATAATAATCACCCTTTATTGTCGATGTCACATTTCGTAATGTTACGTGTGATTTTCGAATCAAAATGTCATAACAACAATAACAAAAAAAGAACGACGCGTGGCCTACCGTAACAAATGATCGGTTGCTTCACTTTAATGAGAGAATGCTAATAATGCGAGACCCCATATCAACACATTATGATGCATGCATAATGCTTGTTCTCTGCGCCCAGACGCTTAACTATTTGACACAGCACTGCATTGTCTGCCTAGTTAATAAAAAGAACAGCTATTTTTTGTACGTATTTTTTGCTTTATTTTTTTTTTTCGCTTCAAGCTTTGTAAATAAAACCAGTGCCTCAATTTCAGAACTTAGTCAGAAATTTGAGAGTAAGAAGGAGAGAGAGAGCGAGAGATGGTGAGAAATTGAGTAACAATCTGTGTGTAAGAATTAATTGTTCTCCAAACTTTTAATCGGGGGAAGTAAACGCAAGCAGCATACATCAAATTTTCATGCATGTACAAATTAAAAATGTCTCTTGTTTTTGGAAATGTTCTCTGGGGATAAAATGGCCAAAGACAGCTTTTTTCCTGATTTTATAGCCGCTCTACAGGTCACAATTATAGACCTATCGACTCGGAATTTTGCATGGGGTGAGAGTATAGAACAGGACAGAAGTCTACCATTTTGGATGGTCATCAAATATGGGAAAATACGGAATCAAATGTGGGAAAATACGGAAAATTTCCATTCAAACGAGAAGAGAGCATTTCTGACTTTTAAATTTATACTGATTTCACTGACGTATATAGTCAGATATCGGATATATAGCAACCTTCAAACAATACCAATCTGAATGTTATGTCATCTGTCTGTCCACCTAAACAAGTTTACGGCTACGAATAGTCCCTATAAATAGTGTCCCAACTAGGACTTTATTTTATACCCTCCACTTTGGAAAGGAGGGTATATTAACTTTATCATTCCGTTTGTTACATCCCTAAATATTCGTCGTAGACCCCATAAAGTATATATATTCATAATCAGCATAAAATTTTAAGTCGATTTAACGATTTCCGTCTGTCTGTCTGTCTGTTGAAACCACGATACAGCCCACATTATTTGACGTAGAGCGTCAAAATTTAGCACAAAATTTTGTATTGTGTCTAGGATGGTTGGTATTGAAAATGAGATATATCGATCCACGTTTGGGTATAGTCCCGATATTCGGTATTGTGATGATTTTAGCCAAATTTTTCACGGATTTGTCTGAAAATTGGTATTTGTGGGTCATAATGGGTTCTAGTTCCTTTGGCGAAATATTGTATGTATGGGTCCACGTTTTGGTATAGCCCCGATATAACGGTACCTCCAGATTTTTGGTATTTTAAGGATTTTTGCAACATTTCATTCACGGATTTGTCTAAAAATTGGTATTTGTTGGTAATAAAGGATTCTAGATTCGGTGGCGGAACTTTGTAAGTATAGGTTAACGTTTTTGTATAGCTCCATATAGCAGTGCCTTCCGATATTCGATATTTTGATGATTTTTACCACATTTTCCCACGAATGTGTCTAAAAATTAGTATTTGTGGGTCATAATGGTTTCTAATGTTTCCTTTACACTAAGGTATAGGGAATTAAAAGTTCGGCCTGGCTGCACTCAATGTTTTTTTTACTTGTTATACCTCTCACTATACGTGGTATGGGGGTATTCTAATTTCGTCATTTCGCATAAAGATAGGAAGCTAAAATTTTGCACAGATCTGTCTTTTTTCTGCAGGCAAGTGAAGTTCGAAGGTGGGCTGAATCGGTCCATGATATCGTATAGCCCCAAAATAACGGTAACCCCTCGATATTCGGAATTTTGCTGATTGTAAACAAATTTTTCGGTGAATTTATTTGAAAATCCACAAAAGGAGTTCCTTCTGAGAATTAATGGAATTGTTTAAAAATCCACACTAGAAGATCTTTCTAAGCACTTTACCCCCCGGGAAGAGAAATAACTGACCACATACAACGGTACCCCCAGATATTCGATATTTGGATGATTTTAGGGACATTATTCACCGGAATTGTTTCAAATTTCGTATTTAGAATTCGTAATGGCTACTACAGCCTATGACAAAAAAGTTCGTATGCAGGCCCACGTCTTCGTATATCCTCCATATAACGGTACCTCCCGATATTCGGTATTTTGGTGATTTAAGCGACATTAATCAAATTTGATATTTGAAGTTGGTAATGGATACTACAGCCTTCGACTGGAAATTGTCTGTGCAGGTCCATGCTTTCCTACAGCCCCATCTCCCGATATTCGGTATTTTGATGATTTTAGCGACATTATTCACCTGAATTGTTTCGAATTTGGTATTTGAAGTTCGTAATGGATAGTACAACCTATGACAGAATATTGTTCCTGCAGGTTCACGTCTTCGTGTAGCCCCTATATAACGGCATCTCCCAATATTCGGTATTTTGTTGATTTAAGCGACATTATTCATCGGAATTGTTTCAAATTTGGTATTTGAAGTTTGTAACGGATATTAGAGCCTATCACAAAAAATTGTCTATGCAGGTCCACGTCTTCCTATAGCCCCCATATAACGGCACCGTCCGATATTCCGTATATTGATGATTTTAGCGACATTATTCACCGAAATTGTTACAAATTTGGTATTTGAAGTTCGTAATGGATACTAAAGCCAATGAAAGAAAATTTTATGTGTAGGTCCACGTCTTCCTATAGCCCTACCTTCTGATATTCGCTATTTTGATGATTCTAGCTACATTATTCGCCGGAATTGTTTCAAATTTGGTGTTTCAAGTTCGTAATGGATATTTCACCGAATTTTTGTATTCAAGTTTCGCATTTGAATATTGTAATGATTTATGACAAAAGTCGTCTTACCCTAATATAACGGCTACATTTGGTAATTTTAAGATTTTAACAGAATTTTTAACGGATTTTATTATTTTTTTTTTTTTTTTGAAAATTTCCAAAATCGTTCCAAATGGTGGAGGGTTTTCAAGGATCGGCCCGGCCGAACTTACAGCTTTCTGTTATTTTATTCTTTTACAGCCAATTCTATTTATTTTCGAATCATTATTTCAAAATAATAAAAATCGTTCAAAACCAAACTCCACTTCGTGGCATACCTTCCCCCTGCACACACCTAGCACGGTAATGAGTGAATTAAATGTGTGCCTTTTTATCAGAGTCAAGCGGTCTTTTTATCATATCTCACTGTGAAGAATTCAACGAATTGTCAGAGATTAATATGAGCGACAATAAAAAACAAACCTCCACTGATCTACTACAGTCTAGTCACAGTTGTTGGTGGAACGAAGTGGATAACGTTTTTTTTTGATATGAAGTGCCAAAATAAATGTGAACTAAAATAATCGCTAAACGATAAAACAAAAACGAAAAAAGAAACAACAAAAACAAACAAATGAATAAATAAACAAAACGTAAATCGTAATTCGACAACAATTAAGACCTTGTTAGAAAAGACAAAAAAGATATGATAATTTATACAGTTTTCAAATACCAAATTTAATTGTTAAATTGTAGGTATTAAGGTGAAATCTGCTAAAGCTAATATGTGAAAGGCTAATAGAGTCATCAGAAGTGTTGGATTATTTTGTATACATATTATAAAATTGAGGGATTTTTTGTCCCGAAGAGATAATAACACCCTGGAATTAAGTCCATACATCCATGTGGGTCGTTCAATGAGAGCTTGAAATCAAGACGACAAAAATACATTTGAGATAAATGGGGGCCATACTAAAATGTCAGCTGATCTTCGTGAAGTATTACATGGTGTAGGTTTTTTATTAAGCAGTCATCAGTTTCGGTCAACACATTAACAAACAAATGAAATTAGAAAATCGAATCCACTTCTTTAATGACAAAACTTAAAAAATGTCTAGGTCTTGAAACTCGATCTAGACATGAATTAACAAAAATAATATTCATTAAGGCACTCACAAAAAGGAAATGGAGTATCCGACTGCTTTTGACTTGGCACATCGTAATATTTCGAATATATCGAAGTAAGATTGAATTGTGGAAAATATCGGTCTGTTCCGTCGGGTATCTCCCCCACAGGGGTCAAATTGTTGAATAAACATAACTCTTATTAAATGAATCACAGATAAATTTCTTAACTCGAGTTTTTCAACTTTTAATACCGGATATAAATTAAATCCGATCTCTGGTTTAGAGAAATATTTACATATACCATGTTTACCAGTCTTAACGCCAGAATTTGCGTTAGTAAAAAATATCGGAATGTGTTTAAGGAGAATCTGATGTTTTTTTTCGCATTTTATGACCGTTTTGTCATTCTAAATTGTGATCCATTGTGGGGCAGGTACCAGAATGAGGTAAGTGATATATCACACCTCAACAGCAGATCTTGTATTAACAGAAAAATTTGGAATGTGCTTAGTTTGAAAGAAATCGGATGCTCATTTCGCATCTTATGAGCTTCACAGTTATTTAAAAATTTGACCCGTTGTGTGGGGGGTACCAGATGTGGTGGTCCGTACTATCCATTATTCATAACAGCTCTTGCACTGGTAAAAATATTGAGTTCTGCTAAATTTGAAGACAACCGGAGCTTTATTTTGCATTTTAAAACAGTTATAAATATTAAAAGTTTTGACCCCTTTATGGGGGAGGTACCTGAAGGAGTGAGCCGATATATCCCATCTTCACACCAGCTCGGAATTGTCTAAAAATTGGTATTTGTAGGTCATAAAGGGTTCTAGCTCCTTTGGTGGAACATACTATGCATAGGTCGACGTTTTCGTGTAGCCCCAACATAACGGTACCTCCCGATATTCGGTATTTGGGTGATTTTTGCCATATTTTTCACGAAATCGTTTAATGTTTGGTATTTGTAGCTCATAATGGGTTCAGTGGGAAATCATTAAACATTTCGGCCTTGCCGAACTTATTTTTTTTTTTTTTTTTACTTGTTACACCCTACACCACAAGGTAGTCAGGGTATTATGTCTTTGTGCATTTGTTTGTAATAGTTCCTTTAATTATCGACATACAATAACATTTTGAGTCGATATATGCATGTCCGTCCGTCTGTCTGTCTGTCCATGTATTTTTGTAAACAAAATACAGGTCGAAATTATTGCCCGATCCAGCTGAAATGTTGCACAAGCAATTTATTTGACGAACCCTATTGATATTGGAGATAATCCGTCAAAATTAAGGTAAAGCTCCCATATTTATTTTCGTCCATATTTGCTTTTTATTGGGCACCAAATGTATAATATCTGCCCAAATATTACGGAATTTTGGACCAAATTAGGCCTGGAAATACTCGTATGTATGCCAAATATGATCGAAATCGTTTCAGATATAGCTACAGCTTCCATATACAGGGTGAGATAAAAAACTGCAACCAACTACAGACTGCTGTCATTTCTAAACCAATCGCCCGACAGCTGTTAAAATTATTCCAGTGATAGTTCATTATATTATTTACAAGCGTTTAAAAGCATTTTGGTGAGAATTTTCCAGAAAAAAGGTATTCGTAAAAAGCTAAGGAGTTGCTTCGCTTGGACGAAAGTGGTGAACTGCCGAATTTGGTTTTCTCCGATGAGAAAACATTCGTTGTCCAGCAGTTTGTAAACAAACAAAATTATGGTGTTTACTTGCCAAAGAGGTCAGCTGAAAATGTGCACCTTCAGTTGACCACCAGAACTCAAGCGCCGACCGTGGTGATGGTATGGGCCGCCATAACAGCCGATGGTCGCTTTCCGCTCGTACTAATCGACCGTGGCATCAGAATAAACGCCGAATATTATCGCGAAAATATTCTGGAGGGTGTATTAAAGCCTTGGCCACGCAAACATTTTGGCCGCAGACCTTGGACATTCCAAGAGGACTCAGCACCATCGCACTCAGCACTTGCCACCCAAGATGGTTACAAAATGAGGCCACCAAAATTTCCGGATACCAATCCGTTGGACTATTGTGTTTGGAGTATTTTGGAAAGCAAGGTTGGCACTAAAAAATACCAAAGTGTTGATCACCTCAAGCAAGCGCTTCGCCGAAAATGGGCCAAAATACAGAAGAGCAACATTCGGACAGCGTGTGACGTTTTCATTGGCCGTTTGAAGGCCATAATTTTTCATGTGATATCTTGTACCAAATATCATTGTTGTGAAGTGCTTATTACGCATGTACCTCACCAAACACCAAATCGAATGAAACTTATATATGGGAGCTATAGCTATATTGGAACCGGTTTAGAGCAAATTTGATGTAGTGGTTTCTAGGATGAATTCAGTCGTAATTGCTAATATATAGTAATCATTTGGTGCACAATAAACATGATATCGGATAAAGATATGTATGGGAGCTATATCGTAATCTGAACCGACTTTGATAAAATTTGACAGAGTTATTTTCGAGAAGTATCTGATGTCCGGTACCAAATATCATTCTTGTGGAGAGCATATTACGCATGTGAGGTTTTTAAAACCCCAAATCGGATGAAATATATATATGGGAGCTAAAGCTATATCTGAACCGAAATTTCATCAAATTTCAAATTTCATGTACATGCTTCTAGACTAAATTCGGTGGGATGTACCAAAATTCAGGTCATTTGGACTTATGTTGGTCATTTGGTGCACAATTAACCCGAAATCGGTTGAAGATATATATGGGAGCTATATCTAAATCTGATGCGATTATCACCAATTTCAATAGGCTACGTCCTTGGGCCAGGCAAACATTGTTTGAAAATTTTCAGCTTAATCGGATAAAAAATGCGACCTGCATTTTGTTCAAAAAAAAAAAAAAAAAACATTGATAGACGACGGACGGACAGACAGACAGACGGACTAACATGCATAAGTCATGCATATGGGTCCATCTCCATTCCTTCTCCATGTTACATACAAATGCACAATGACATAATACCCTTTTCTCTATGTGGTGTGGGGAATAAATATTCCCTTAGATCCCTTTTACAAAATCTCTTAATTTTGTTTAGAAAATAAAAATATTTATTTGTGTAGACCGTCGAACAATGTTAGCCTTGCCAAAGTTTATAAGTATGCATTTTTCCGAATGTATGGCCTTGGTAATGAAAATGTGTACTTCCGTATTTGCTGTGTAAAATATACATTTTGTGTATAAATTACGTGACATTGCTGGAAATCGGATCAGTCAGTATTCATTGCTATACCTCTTTTGAAAGTGCGGATACTCAAAAGTGTTCTTTGCTTGGATTTTCTTTACATTTTCTCAGCGATATTGTAAAGTTCTTAAATACTTAGTTATTAAATATTCATCTTTAATTTATGCATTAAAAAGCGGACAAGGTTAAGATCACTCCCAAACAAAATATTTTATTATACCCTACAACACTTTGTGTTGGGGGTATTATAAGTTTGATTTGGCCAAAAATTATGTAACACCTCGAAATATTGGTTTCCCACATAGGAAAGTATATATGGATCTTCCTATCTCGCCGAGCTGAGTCGATCTAGCTATGTATGTCCGTCCGTCCGTCTGTCCGTCTGTCCGTCTGTCCATGTTAATTTGTAATCACTCTACAGGTCGCAATTATGGTCCGATCTTCACGAAATTTAGAATGGAGGTGGGGATAAGGTCAGAATAGAACCCTATTTCTTTTGGAGATGATCGTACAATATTTAGGGGTCGAAATGGACCAAAAACTGAAAAATCCTGATTTTGCAGTTGCTCTACAGGTTGCAATTATAGACCAATCGACGCGGAAATTAGCATGGGACTAAAGCTTCGGGCTGGGCAGAAGCCTTCCGATTTTGATGGTCATCGGGTAGTATTCAGTGGGTGAAAAAGACTATAACATTTATGTTAAATAAAAGTCAAATTTCTATTACACCGCGAATATTTTTAGTCCCGGCGAAATCATAAATAGGCGAACAGGTCAATTCTGACCGTTACGTAGATGCCGATAGTAAATATATCGGACATATATAGCGAAATATATACAATGTATATATAGAAAGGAAGGGGATTTTATCTAGAATGCTTATATCTCAAGAATGGCTGGAGCGATTTTGACAAATTTTGTAAAATTAGAATTCCCCTTTGGCATAAAAGTATAAAATCTAAAAAAAATCGCATAAAAAGATACCAATAATAATGTTAATATAGATTTTGTAGTATTTTGTGACATTTTTTTATGTTTTTCATATTTTTTATCGCATGCGATTTTTTCATTTTGACTTATAATATTGAATTGTACATTTTGTAATATTTTTTTTTTATTTTACAACAGAAGTTGGGGTTTTTATATACAGATTACAATTATCGTCTGATCTTCACGAAAATTTTCCCAAGGGCTCAGAAGAACTATTGTTTTCAAAGATGACCGCAATATATTTAGGGATTGAATGGACCAACAACTAAAAATGTTCCTGATTTTGCGGCCGTTATAAAGTTAACAAATTGAATCCAAAGGAAATCTCGCATGAACTTAGAGCTTAGAACAGCGGGTAGAATGGACCACTACTTTTGTTTGAAAAAATACCAATATTATTTACAGGCGATATCCGCAAAACACAAAAGGCGAACTTCTGGTTTTGTGCTGATTTCGTTGACGAATATAGCCAAACATCGTAGATAATCAAATTATAGGGATGAGTCTAAATTTGGAGATACAGAGGTACCTCTTGCTCTTGGAATTGACCCCAAAATATTTAGGGGTCCGAATGAACCAAAAACAGAAAAAAATCCTGCTCACACAATTGAAGAGAGTTAAGAACATGGAAGAATTCTAGCATTTTGGATAACCATTGGAATATGTAGCTATAAAATGGACCACAACAACTAACAGCACGATGGAGTGCGTAAATATTGGGCAAATATCCCTTGTCAAAACGCTAAGGGTAATATCTGGGCAGTGCTCCATGACACAATTTCAAAAGCGAAATATTCCAAAATGGATTCGGACATAATTTGGCTTCTCACATATTGTAGTGTTGTAGGGTATCACATGGTCGGCCCAGCACGACTATAGCCTTTGCTTACTTGTTATATATAAAATTTAAACTTCTTATAAATACAAGTTAGAATGAACACTGTCGAAAGCTGATTTCATAGAAAACAAACATAGAAGGGTACAGGTTACGTTCTGTGCAAAGGTATATTTAACAAATTTACCATTCGTATGTTTCTTTTTGGTACACAAATCCACGATTATACTATGTACAGATTTTCATTTCAAATTCCAAGCTTCAATATTTGCTAATTGTTGGTGACAAATAACTTCCAAACAAATGTGGGTTTAGGTATTCCACATAACGTTAGCATTTGAATATTTTAGAGATTATATTATGATCCACTTTGAAATATGATCATTTTGGGTTTTACTTTACTTCTTGTTTGTAAAGTCCCATAACGGTGCTTCCCCATTGCTTACAATGGTCACATACGGAAATTAACATTTATGTTTGAAGCATATAACAGTGTTATGGAAAGACTGGAAAAGCCATGGAGGAATTTCACAACCGACTAAGCAAGGTGGTGTACATATGCTCACAGACATCGAAACTCAGCTAACATTTTTGTTTCCAACAATTTTCTCAGAAAATGCACTCGTTTTTTATACCCACCACCATAACATGGAGGGTATATTAAGATTGTCACTTCAGTTGTAACACCTAGAAATATCTTTTGTAGACCCCACAAAGTATATATATTCTTAATCAGTATAAAATTATATGGCGATGTATGGGGCTAATATCCGCCTGTTTGCCTTTTCATCTGTGGAAATAAATTTAGCTACCAGACGAAATAAAGTAAATTGATAAAATTTTACTCAAAACAATTTTTCCGTTTCAGGACATTTGGACTCCATCTGTATGTCTGTCTGTCTATCGCGCACGATACTTCTCGAAGGGAGTATCGGATGGTGAAAATCGATTCAGATATAGTTCCCATATATATGTTTCATCCGGTTTGGTGTTAAAGTCCCTCACATGCGTAATTTTCACTCCAGAAGAATGATATTCGGTACTGGACAAAAATATCGAAAATAACTCTGTCAGGTTTATTGTGCTTATATCAGCCCAAATGTACTGAATTTTTGTCACTACGGTTAAATTCATCCTATAAACCAGTACTTCAAATTAAACCCCAAATCGATCCGATTTGGGGTTTAAAATCCCTCACAAGCGTTATATGCATTCTACAAGAATGATGTTTGATATCAGATACAGCCCGGAAATACCTCTGCCAAATTGTATGAAGATCGCTTCAGATTTGGATATAGCTCAACCGATTTCGGGTTAATTGTGCACCAAATGGCCAATATCATTCCAAATGACCTGTGTTTTGATACATCCAACGGAATTCAGTCTAGAAGCAAGTACATCATATCATTTGGCAATAATCGGTTCAGATATAGCTGTAGCTCCAATATATATGTTTCATTCGATTTGGTGTTTAAGTCCTTACATTCGTAATCCAGATATCTTATAGAGTTCAGAAATACCTTTGCGAATTTTTTCCGTGAACGGCTAATATTTGGATATAGCTCTCACATATATCCTAATCCGATTTCATGTTTGTTGTGCAAATAATGGCTATTATCAGCCCAAATGGAGTGAATTTCGGGATGTACGTTTCAATTTTGAGGAACTCGGCTCCGATATATATGTTTTTTAATATAATTCTTCTCAAAGTGATATCCTACACTCTATATCATTGCTATTTGGTATATAATAATGATATGTCTCCGTCAAATTTAGTGAAAATCGATTCAGAATTGGACATGTCTCCCATACATTAGTTCCCTCTGAAACCAAAATATAACTGCTCCAAAGCCAAATGTTGATAGGTGGTATAATATACTTCAAATACATTTTTTATGGGAGCTCTACTAAATTTTCATAGTGGTGTAGGGTATCAAATAGTCGGTATTTTTTTTTTTTTTTTTTTTTTTTTTGCATTTGTTTAATAAATAATCATCGATAATAAAAATCGATTTTATACAAAAGTTGAAAAATATAAATTGTAGAAAAGCTTTTCTGCCCATAAGAAGGATAAATTTGGGGATATTTCTTTCCCACCAAAAGTTGCAGAATTTTGAATTTTTAGGAAAAAAGATTCTGATCTACTCTGCGTCGATGTTCCTTTATTTCCCAGTTACAAAGACTAACATATATCTAATTTAAAATGTTGTTCTTAAAGAGATATCTTGTTTTTATGATATACATTCCTCTATGTTCTTGTTTTTTTGCCAATAATATTTTTTTTTTATATAAATTCGTTATTAAGTTTTATAATTAATTTATGTCCAAACTCTCAGCCGCCCATCCATCAATTAATATTCTCAAAATTTATAAATCAAGTTTGAAACGATAATTAATTTACGAAGTTTGTCTTAATTGTAGGTTCGGAATGAAGTTCAAAAGGGAAACAGCAAACCAATGATGTAAACAAAAGCTAGACGAAAAAAATAATAAAAAACAATACAAATTATAACAAATTACACTCAAATAAAAAATGTTCGTTCAAACGACGGCAAAACTTGAAACAACCATAAGAAGACACAAACTGATCATCGCTTTTGGGCTATGAATTTCAAAACTAAAAGCGTAGTAACCAGAAGAATAAAAACAACAACGACACCATAAAAACAAAACTAGTATTTTTCGGAAACATTATAAAATTCTGTCAAATTGTTATTGTTTTTCCTCAAATTTCGGTTCTTTTTTTTTTGGTTCGCTTCGAAGCTCGATGTGTGTGAAACAAACCTTTATGAGATCGAACGTGAGTTTGTGTGTGCGTTAAAGTTGTGTTTTGTTTCTCGTGACGCTGCCTCACATGTGCGTTGTCGCTGGCGGTGGAGTTGTTGTTGTTGCTGTTGTATTGTGTTTTCGCTCGGCGTATTTGTATTTGAATTAATTAAAAATATAAAATACCTCTAATCATTATGGCTCGCTCACATTTCACTCGAAAACTTTGTCTCGCAATGACGGCTACCGTCTCTATACTGGCATTAATATTAGCCGTCTTGGGATTATTCGGTGCTCCTGCCGATTCTGTCAAGCCATCGACGGCCGGCTCCACGGATCAGTCAACATTGGAGCTGTTGCATGTGGTAAGTATTGATTTATAAGTGATAGCATTTATGTGTATGTAGTCGACTATTGAACGGAGTACCGGAGAAGAACTTTGATTTGGTGAGCAGTTGCGATGCTATTGACAGCTGCTGTGTAGTCGCTTATCGCTCCAAAATTAGTTGTGGTCAAAGCTTTTCCATTGAATCGATGATGCATCACATCATTCACAAGTCTCGTGCTGACCAAAGCCAGCCATGGCAGACATTAGGACGTCTAGATTTTTTTCCGTTTTTTTTTTTTTGTGACCCACACATCAGTTGGATTTTCTTATCAGTTTTGAAAAATTTTAATGCACTTTTTTGGAATTATGTTTACTTTGTTCGTTTTTAAGCATTTGTAGTTGATCATCATCATTGGCGCCGTTTTGAACTAGACTAAAAATGTGCGGAACAAGGTTACCTATTAATAACCCGCATATGATTTTTCACCAGCTTATCGCTTGTATTCTAAGCGTGAATAAAATGCGTATTGAATTTCAATTTACGAATTAGAATAATAGAACATTACAAATAATTTTTTCATATTTTTTGCAAGAGATTGTTTGAGGAAAGTAAGAAAAAGTGCTGAAAGGGTCGAAAATAAAAAAAAAACTTTTAATATCCTCCACCATTTGGCACAAATTTGGCAATTTCCCAAAAAAGAAAAAAAAATCAGTTTTAAATTCTGTTAAAATCTTAAAAATACGACGCCGTAGACCTGCATAGGCAACTTTTGTCATAAGTTATTACAATATTTAAATGCGAAACTTGAAGAAAAATCTGTTTATAATGCAGCTAAAATCATCAAAATACCGAATATAGTGGGTACCGTTATATGGAGGCTATACGGAGGCGTGGACCTGTACAGACAATTTTCTGGCATGGGCTGAAGTATACATTACGAACTTCACATGCGAAATTTGAAACAATCCCGGTAAATAATGTCGCTAAAATCACCAAAATACCGAATATCGGGGGGTACCGTTATATGGGGGCTATATGATAACTTGGACCTACATGCAAAATATACATGTGTGCAAAATTTTAGACTTCTATCTCAATTTGTTCGAAAGATAGCGTGATTACAACAGACAGACAGACGGACATGGCTAAATCGTCTTAGAATTTTACGCTGATCAAGAATATATATATACTTTGTTGCGTCTGACATGAGTATTTCGAGGAGTTACAAACGGAATGACAAGATTAATATACCCTCCATAGAATGGTGGAGGGTATAAAAGTATGTGTCGGTTTAGCCGATTGTACACCGTACACCCTCACCCAATGTTGGATTATTAAAATATATTTTGACATGCGTTGTGATTATTACAAATGTTGCCCTTTGCGGGGAGATACTAGAAGGAACGGACTGATTTATCCCATCTTTACAACACATCTGGTGTTGATAGAAGTATTAACATGTCCCAAGTCTGAATGGAATAGAATGTTAATTTCGCGTTTTATGAGCTTCATGGAAATGTAAACTTTTGTCTCTTTGTGGGGGAGGTACCCATCTTCACAGCAGATCTTGTGTTAGTAGAAGTAATGGGATGAGTAAAATATGGAGAAATCCGGATTCTTATTTCGGATTTTATAATCGTTTTGGTTATTCAAAACTTTAACCCTTTGTGGGGGGTGATATCAGAAGAAATGTTCTGATCTTAACCATCTTTATAACAGATCTTGTGTATGGAAATATTGAGATGTGCCAAATCTGAATAGAATACGAATCTGGGAGTACCCGATATATTTAGGCAGGACTGGGGTCACGTTCTAGAATGGACAATATTTGCTAGCCATAGATTTTGAACCATTTTGTTTTGGGGTGAACGGATGAAGCTGAAATTTATAGTTTTGTATTGCTGTTCCTGTTGGTGGTAGTTTGTGATAAAGAAGTGGTTTTGGAAATGGGTACAACAAGTACACGAATAGTACGATATATATTTTGTACAATTTGGTATTGTAGTGCTTGAAATCAGAAATTTGGTATTGCGGTCGCTGTTCATGTGTAGCCTGGACATATTGAGAAGGTTTCGAAAATGTGTGCTACAATTGTACGAAAGGTACTGAATGGTACTTTATTCCGTATTGGTTGAAAGGATGGAAATAAAATGCTGAAATTTGATATTAAGATTACCGATAGTAGCTGTGGTTTGGAAATGCGTTCCATGTTTGTACTAAATGGTACTATATTTTGGTATTGGGTGAAGGAAAAGGTCTGGAATCCTCAAATTTGATATTGAGGTCTATGTTGGTATCTGAGTATTATAATTGTTTGAAAAGTACTAAATGCTACCAAAATTGGTTTTGGGTGAAGGGATAAAGCTAAAAACTTGAACGTCTAAAATTTTTGTACGTGGCATATAGTTTTGATCTAAAAATTTTTATCAAACTGAACATATTGTACATTTTGAATTCTAAGGAGGTGTAACGTGGTTTTCTCGTCGGCTGAGGTAAGCTCAGCTGTACCCAGGGTCGCCATAAGGACCCACTAAACCTTATGAAATAATAAGAGTAGATTTCTCCCTTTCCTGGGGGTAAATATCGGATGTTTTATTGATCTTTAATTCTAGATTACAATCTACTCGGGTTGAAATACGATAAGATAAGTATTGAATATAGGATGGCAAATGGACTTCGGATATGTTCGTGACTCCAAGGTGATGATGCTTAATTGGTGATCGGGGATTCGATGTTGACTCGTATCGTAGGCAGGCGGGTGTACGATTCGTGAACAATCGGGAGTGATTATGTCGGGTGTACGCAATGAATACTCGGGTGGTTGATATGAGTGGCTAGTCGACGATCGGATACTCGGGGATGACCGTCGGAGGTTGATTGTGAAGAAGATAGGGAATTACGATGTTGCGTTCGGGTGACGCTTGCGTTGACGATTTGAAGGTAATCGGGAACTTGTGGTCGTCGGTCGTCGACGATCAGATTATTACGATTATTGCGTTCGGCCGATGCGGTCTGTTGTCGATTTGACGGTAATCGGGAACTTGTGTTCGTTGACGATTTGAAGGTAATCGGGACTTGTGGTCGTCGGTTGTCGACGATCAGGAATTATGATGATTGTGTTCGGGTGATGCGGTCTGTTGACGATTTGACGGTAATCGGGAACTTGTGTTCGTTGACGATTTGAAGGTAATCGGGAACTTGTGGTCGTCGACGATTTGAAGGTAATCGGGAACTTGTGTTCGTTGACGATTTGAAGGTAATCGGGAACTTGTGTTCGTTGACGATTTGAAGGTAATCGGGACTTGTGGTCGTCGGTTGTCGACGATCAGGAATTATGATGATTGTGTTCGGGTGATGCGGTCTGTTGACGATTTGACGGTAATCGGGAACTTGTGTTCGTTGACGATTTGAAGGTAATCGGGAACTTGTGTTCGTTGACGATTTGAAGGTAATCGGGAACTTGTGGTCGTCGACGATTTGAAGGTAATCGGGAACTTGTGTTCGTTGACGATTTGAAGGTAATCGGGAACTTGTGTTCGTTGACGATTTGAAGGTAATCGGGACTTGTGGTCGTCGGTTGTCGACGATCAGGAATTATGATGATTGTGTTCGGGTGATGCGGTCTGTTGACGATTTGACGGTAATCGGGAACTTGTGTTCGTTGACGATTTGAAGGTAATCGGGAACTTGTGGTCGTCGGTTGTCGATGATCAGGAATTACGATGTTGGTGTTCGGGTGATGAGGGTTGTTGACGATTAGAGGGTAATCGGGAACAGCTGTCCAGGTCTTCGTGAGCGGATTGACATTCGTACTGGTTGGGCAGCTCGTTGAGGGTAGATTCGGCAACCGATGCGTTCGTGTAGATGGTTCGGGGCTCGTTCGTGTTCGATAGCTCGTTGAGGGTAGATTCGGCAACCGATGCGTTCGTGTAGATGGTTCGGGGCTCGTTCGTGTTCGACAGCTCGTTGAGGGTAGATTCGGCAACCGATGCGTTCGTGTAGATGGTTCGGGGCTCGTTCGTGTTCGACAGCTCGTTGAGGGTAGATTCGGCAACCGATGCGTTACGCTGTGTAGATGGATCGTGGCTCGTTCGGCAGCTCGGGTTTCTGTTATTCGGGTCGGCTACAGGGGCGAGGTAACTAGCCTTGCTACGATTCTCTAACTACGTCTACTCCACTACCAACGTTTGACTATAATACGGAACAGCGAGCCGAAACTCCTGTGGAACAGCGAGCCGAAGCTCCTGTGGAACAGCGAACCGAAGTTCCTGTGGAACAGCGAGCCGAAACTCCTGTGGAACAGCGAGCCGGAGCTCCTGTGGAACAGCGAACCGAAGTTCCTGTGGAACAGCGAGCCGAAGCTCCTGTGGAACAGCGAGCCGAAGCTCCTGTGGAACAGCGAGCCGAAGCTCCTGTGGAACAGCGAGCCGAAACTCCTGTGGAACAGCGAACCGAAGTTCCTGTGGAACAGCGAGCCGAAACTCCTGTGTAAATGAATTACCAGCCACTCAAATTAATGAGAGCCAGTCTTGGAAAAAGTATTCCCGACTAACGCTTTTATTAGTCGGAGGACGGCCGATGATCTTTAGAAAAATCACTAGCTACCCTTTGGCAAGCTCCTGCAGTAGCGAGCCTCCCCTCATCGCACCTAAAACCGAACGCTATATGTGACCGGTTCAACCAAGTCATTGCGAATTTTTAGCCTTACGCTGTGAACAGCACACCAACGAAAAGTACTTTGTTCACCACGCGCCCAATGAATGCTGCGTTTGCTGGCTAGTGCTGTTGTCGCCTTGCTGACTGCGTATGACCGAGTGGTGGTGGTGGTCCTACAAACGAAAATCCTACAAATTATTATAGTAGGGCTAAAAAGAAAACAGGTTTGCCTGTATTTTGATCTCCCCCTCATCCATTTTTTATAATTTTCGAATTAAGATTCCTTGTAATCCCGGGAATTCACATATACAGGGTGAGATAAAAAACTGCAACAAAGTCAAACGCCATAATTTTTAACTTTTTTTTTTAATTTTATTGAATGAAAGCAAAAAATGTCCGAAATAGCATCAAATTTAAGAATAAGTTTAGATTTGTTCGAATTGGTTACCTTTGGCATGAATTATGACCTTCAAACGGCCAATGAAACCGTTACACGCTGCCCGAATGTTGCTCTGCGGTATTTTGACCCATTCCCGGCGTAGCGCTTGCTTGAGGCGATCGACACTTTGGTATTTATTAGTGCCGACCTTGCTTTCCAAAATACTCCAGACCCAATAGTCCAATTGATTGGTATTCGGAAATTTTGGTGGTCATTGTGCGCTGGAAATGAAGCGAGGAACCTCATTTTGTAATCACTATTGGGTGGCGCGTGCTGAGTGCGATGGTGCTGGAATATCCAAGGTCTGCGGCCAAAATGTATGCGTGCCCAAGGCTTTAATACACCCTCCAGAATATTAGTACGAGCTATTAATACTAGCGGAGAGCGACAATCGGCTGTTATGGAGGCCCACACCATCACCATGGCCGGCGCTTGAGTTCTGATGTCCCTCCAAGGGTCCACATTTTCAGCTGACCTCTTTGGCAGTAAACCCGATCATTTTGTTTGTTTACAAACTGCTGGATAACGAATGTTTTCTCATCGGGGAAATCTAATTCGGCAGTTCAACACTTTTGGCCAAGCGAAGCCCATCGTTAGCTCTTTTAAGGTATATCTTTCTGTTGCGGTGTAAGTTCTTGCACTTTTTGGAATTTCAATGGCTTTACCCCAGGCTCATTATTCAATGTTTGCTCAATGGAATGTTGCGATATGTTCAGCTCACGAGCCATTTTTCGGCCACTGCGACGCGGGTTCCGATGAAGTCGCTTCTTTAATTTTCGAACCATTTTTGCTAATGTTGCTGTTTTCTTCCGTCCACTTCCTTGTATATATACCTGCAGTATTGCCGAAGTCTCTATAGTCCTAAAATTCATGGATTGCGAAAAATCTTAATCCGAAAATGTCCAAAAGTGTTGAAGAGGGGGAACTTGTCCCCTTTATTTATATTAATTTTCGATGTATACTTTCAAAACGCCAATACACGCGTCTTTTTTTTACCTCTACAGTTTGGAACAGAAAAATTGGAAATCGGTCCATTGTGCAATGGCTTTACTAATATCCTCCTCTGTAAATTTCAAAATGAAACATTTTGAAGGCTTTTTGGTGTACCTAAAAATGCACGGATTCCGATTTATCTTAACCGAAAATTTCTAAAATTGTGAAAAAGGTTGAGCTGCCTCTATTTCCTTTATTTCCCAATAATCGTTTTTATAATACTGAATAAAAATTTCTTTGGTATTTTGAAGTTAAAAATTAAGCTAACTATTCGTCAGTTTTTAATCCCCTGCGGCCACACCGTTATATATGAAAGAATATTTTGATGCGCTCACCTAATATGCATTGATTATCAAAAATCGTTCCAGTTTTGATTTTTGAAGCTTAATATTTTCTTCACACAGTACTCAGGCATTAAAAAACGTAATCAAATTTCAAATTTCAAATCAGCTCCCATTAAATATTTCAATTCAACACTGCGATCTTCATACACTGCTTTATAAAATCGTCGTTAATCCATATGTATTTAAATACATTTGTAAACGATGTTTACCTTGAACTTGATGATTATTTACAGTGAAAAGTGAAAACAAAAATTAATCTGCAATTTGACACGCTGCTCTGATGAGAGTAAAGTAACCCTAAAATCACGTATGTTTTCTTCGAATTGGGTGTTTGACATTCTGCTTTGTTGTGCTCGTGATAATTGTAAAATTTTCAAAATTGAGATGCAAATTGATTTTGTTAAAGAAGAAAAAATATTATAATAAGAGCTAAAACAGAAGACACGTGCGTTTTAAAAGTTTACATGACAATATTACTTAAGAAGAGGGGGAAAGCTCTACCCTAATCGATTTTTTTTTTTTAAATGTTAACATTAAGATTCCTTGGAAACCCTTGATATTAGGTATATAGTGTCTTCACGGCAGTATTGCAGATAAAAACACAATATGTATTAGGTATATAAGTATAAGTAATTTGGTTGATAACCCTCAAGCAAATGTGTCTTTTTGGTCCTTTTTCGAAAATATGCTTAAAAACCACATTTAAGCGGAATCGCTTTTACAAAATTGAATAAACACATCAAAAGTCTAAATCTTATCTAAACCTATGAACTCATAAATGTAAAAATACACATTTCAGGGTTAAAGCTGTTTTATAGTGAAATTATGAAATAGTCTTCTCCAACGCATCATAAAATGAGAAAGACGTAAAAGACAAATTTATTCTTCATAAATCTGCATAGAATCACTTTCTGAGTTGATTTATGCATGTCAGTCCATCTGTCCGTCCGTCTGTCCGTCCGTCTGTCCATGTATTCTTGTGAACAAAATGCAGGTCGCATTTATTATCCGATTGAGATGAAATTTTGCAAACAACATTTGTTTGGCCCAAGGACGAACCCTATTGAAATTGGAGATAATCGGTATATATATATCTTCGTCCGATTTGCCTTTTATTGTGCATCAAACGTGTAATATCAGCCCGAATGGTATGGAATTTTGCACATACAACCAAATTAAAATAAGTATGCCAAATTTTATCGAAATCGGTTCAGATATAGCTATAGCTCCCATATATATTGTTCATTCGATTTGTTATTTTTGTCCTCCGCAGCCGTAATATGCACTCTGTAACAACAATATTTGGGGAAATATATCAAATGCAGCTCGGCCGATTTTATGATACCCTACACCACTTTGCTAATTTATTTGAGCTCCACATAACATTTAAAAGTTTTTATGGGAGAATTCAATCCTACACCCTATGATTATAATTATAATTTTAAATTTAAAGGACTAAATACGCCGAAGCATTTGTATCTTTTAAATTCGGACTTGTATTGCCCATTTGGTGCGAAATTAATTTGAAATCGGATAAAAATATATATGGGAACTATATCCAAATCTGAACCGATCTCGATTAAATTTAGCAAAGGTATTTCTGAGCTGCAGTTGATATATTTCCCCAAATATTGTTGTTACAGAGTGCATATTACGGCTGCGGAGGACAAAAATAACAAATCGGATGAACAATATATATGGGAGCTATAGCTATATCTGAACCGATTTCCAAATTTGGCATGCTTATTTTTAGGCCTAATTTGGTTGAATGTGCAAAGTTCCGTACTATTCGGGCTGATATTACACGTTTGGTGCACAATAAAAGGCAAATCGGACGAAGATATATATAGGAGCTATATATTTTTACCGATTATCTCCAATTTCAATAGGATTCGTCCTTGGGCCAAACAAATGTTGTTTGGAAAATTTCATCTCAATCGGATAATAAATGCGACCTGCATTTTGTTCACAAGAATACATGGACAGACGGACGGACGGACAAGCATAAATTGACTCAGAATGTGATTCTATGCAGATCATCAAAAGGAACTATGGGTCTATCTCGTTTCCTTTTGCCTGTTACAAACAAATGCACAAAGACAAAATACCCTGATCACCTTGTGATGTAGGGTATAAAAATCTCAAGCCCCGGTCCGTGTTGAATGTAGCCAAAGGAGAAAATCTCAAATACCCGTCTTCCTAAAACACCATCAAATTTAGAATTACTTTGGATCGCGTAGCCGGTGTTGGAAGTAGTCAAAAAGGGAGACTCTCAGATCCCGAAAACAGCATCCAATTTAGAAAAACTTTGGTTCGCGAAGCCGGTGTTGGACATACCCAGAGGATCTCAAGCCCCTACCGAAGACCGTCTACCTAAGACAGCGTTAAATTGAGAAAAAATAAACTGAATGTTCTAAAAAGGTTGTCCGGGTTTAAAGATCTATATCTCTGGATCTAGGAGAGATTATAGAATTTTAAAAAGGTTGTAGTGTAAGTTATAACGTGTTATAACAGAAAAAAACACACTTTCCCACAATCAGGGTATAAATACCTACCTCAAAGATATCCGAGTGTTTTTACTAAACTAGAGTTATTCCGTAACTAATCAAAATTGTCGGTTTTTGGAGTGAAGATCAAGCAAAAGGATTGAAAAAGCTGAAAAAACCCGGAAAAGTTGTAGTTTGGTAGGATACATGGACTGGTGGCATCATTGCACCGTTCTTCTTCAAAGATGCTGTCAATAGTAACATAACTGTGAACGCTACTGCAATTTTTCAACAAAATGGTATCACATGCCAGACTGCACTCGTAACAATAGACTTATTAAGAGGCGAGTTCTGTGAACATTTTATTTGACTTTGGAGACCGGTCAATTGGCCGTCTAGACTCTAGATCGTGCGATTTAAGACACGATTTAGACAGTTTTTTTAAAAGTTAAAGCTCATGTCTGTATTTTATTCGAAATGTTGGAAAGAGTATTTCAAAATTGATCTAAGCGGATGTACCATTTGAGGCACAATCGTGTTTAACGTTTGCATTAAATTATCTTCAACTTTCCTACAGCTCTTAAAAATCACCCTATATTAAACTTAGGATTTTAGCAATAAATGCAATATAATATTAATTACATGTTACTAACTTTTTATTATTACAAATTTTCTAAACAGCATCTTCTCCTGGTGCCTCTCGCAAATAGCGACTTCAAGGCAAAAGATTTTTATGCTAAATGTGTAGAGTTATTATTTGATGTCTTTAAAGACCCATATTAGCCAGCCTTAAATTATTGAACCATCATAAACAATATTTGATTTTTGGCGGATATATGGGAACAAATAATCTCTTGGTAGTTCAGAAATTCTCACCTCATATTGCCCAGCCGTATCAAAAACCTCGCTTTAGGGCTATCAATACTAATGATATTGTGCGTACACATCGCTTCCGACCACCCCATAGAATTGTCTAATTTAATATAACAATTTAATTTTTTTGATTTGATTCCTATCTCTTACAATTTAAATCCCATCCAATTCCATTGTAAATTTATGAGGCAAAAAAAAAGTTGAGAAAAAAAACACAAAATAAATAAAGCATTGATTTCATTTGCATAGATTTCTAATCAAAGTGACAGCGAATTGAAAACTGTCGTTCGTTCGCATCGCTTCTAATTTAGTAAATATGCAAATTAATTTAATTTTTATGAGAGCCAAAACGCAGGCTAGAGTTTAATTATGCCGAACGTTATCAAATGCAAAATAAATTATTTTAATTTTTACCATATCTGATTGTACATATGTGGGGTGTGTATTTATGTGTGTGAGGTGTGTGTGTACATAATACCTCTTTTGTTGAATGAGTAGCAGGGAAAAATTAATATTCATTTGAAAAAAAAATATTTAGAAAAATACTTGTAACAGCAACAATGGATGTTGTTTTTGTTAAATGGGAATTGGAATTAGAACTGCCTCTGTTGCGGTAGGCCGTCATCAAATAATTATTTTTGTCGTCTCACCAGTATTTACATGAGTTGGCGGGTGACAAATGGTTTCAAATTACAGAGGCAGGGGGCATATTATAAATAAAGTCTCGTGCCTAGTTGTTTGCTTACAAACATCATATAAATGATCAAACATTAAATTATTTAAATGCCTTCCATTTCTTAGGGTGACTAGAAAATTTTGTCACATAATTTAAATTTTAAATATTGCTTTACATACTCTTATACCTGCACGTGTGCACTCACAATTTGGCAACAAATGTTGTCCTCTGTCTAGACTTGATTCCTTAGGTAAGATGATTCATATCATCACCATTTTTTACTTACGGTGTCAGCAACATTAATACAACAACAGGTGTTTAAACACGCTTTTAAATTATAATTATTTGTATGTAAAGCAAATATCAATTTGGAATATAATTTCGCTCCAACACAAATCTGTCCGGCTTTATTATTTTTTAATAATTTCTTGAAAAATCCAATATATTGGGAAAGTTGAGCTAAAAATAGAAGAAAGTTTACATAGCAAAGTAAATTAAATAGGGAGGAGGGGCAAGTTTTCCACTCTTCCATTTTTTTACATTTACAAGGGTATTTTATAAAAGCTATAAGAATTAAACAGAAAGTTGTAAGATCGGCAGTGCCAAATTGTGAATACCTTCCATTTGGCAAAGGAATTTTAAATACGAAATTTGAAACAATTCCGGTGAATATTGTCGCTAAAATAATCAAAATAATGAATATAGGGAGGTACCGTTGTATAGCGACCTATACGAGCACCTGGACCTGCACAGTCGTAGTACCCATTGCGAACTTCAAAGCGAAATTTGAAACAATTCCGGTGAATATTGTCGCTAAAATCATCAAAATACCGAATATTTGGGAGGTACAGTTATATGGGGATTATATCACAACGTGGACATATGAGATAACGCCCTCCATATGTGAGATGAAAAAACTGCAACCAAATTCAGACTGCTGTCATTTCTAAGCCACTCGACCGACAGCTGTTAAAATTATTCCAGTGACATCTCATTATGTTGTTTTCAAGCGTACAAAAGCATTTTTGTGAGAATTTTCCAGAAAGTGGCTATCGTTAGAGTACTTCAGTATTTAAATGTGAATAAATCTTTTGTGTCTCGTACCATCGCTCGTTACCGTGATACTGGTAGCGTAGCCCGACGTAAAGGAAGTGTACGGAAGAAAACAGCAACATTAACAGAAATGGGTCGAAAAGTAAAGAAGCGACTTGATCGAAACCCGCGTCGCAGTGACCGAAAAATGGCTCGTGTGCTGAACATATCGAAATATTCCATTCGGCAAATATTGAAAAATGAGCTCGGGGTAAAGCCATTGAAATTCCAAAGAGTGAAAGAACTTTCTATAGAGCTAAAGAGTGGCTTCGCCTGACCGAAAGTGGTGAACTGCCGAATTTGGTTTTCTCCGATGAGAAAACATTCGTTGTCCAGCAGTTTGTAAACAAACAAAATGATCGTGTTTACTTGCCAAAGAGGTCAGCTGAAGATGTGCACCTTCGGTTGGCCACCAGATCTTAAGCGCCGACCATGGTGATGGTGTGGGCCGCCATAACAGCCGATTGTTGCTCTCCACTCGTATTTATCGACCGTGGCATCAGAATAAATGCCGAATATTATCGCGAAAATATTCTGGAGGGTGTATTAAAGCCTTGGGGACGCAAACACTTTGGTCGCAGACCTTGGACATTCCAAAAGGTCTCAGCCCCAGCACCCAAGAATGGTTACAAAATGAGGTTTCTCGCTTCATTTCCAGCGCACAATGGCCACCAAAATCTGGAGTATTTTGGAAAGCAAGGTTGGCACTAAAGAATACCAAAGTGTCGATCACCTCAAGCAAGCGCTTCGCCGGGAATGGGCCAAAATACCGCAGCGTGTGACGGTTTCATTGGCCGTTTGAAAGCCATAATTCGTGACAAAGGTGACCAATTCGAACAAATCTAATTTTATTCTAAAATTTGATGCTATTTCCGACATATTTTGCTTTCATTCGATTAAATTAAAAAAAAAATTTATCGTGTTTGCCAAAAAGATCCCTTTGTTGACTCGATCGAGGTGTAACATTTTTCACAAAAATATTCCCTGTTTGTTATTTGCAAAATTTACCAAAAATTTAGATTTAAATCTGATTTATCTTTAAACATCTTTCTGCTATACATATTTAAAGTTTTTCATTTCTTTTTTCTTAAACATTGTTGTCTAACGCCCTCCATATGTGAGGAAATTTGTTATTATATCGCCTAGATTAGAATGGTCTTGAGCTGTTTAAAAATTTGTAATTAATTCTCTCTGCTTTCAAAATTTACAGGTATTTCGTCATGGACCACGTACACCTGCCGACACCTATCCCAATGATCCACATGTAAATCAAACATTCTACCCCTATGGCTGGGGACACATAACAAATGTGAGTAGAAATAAACCAAAGAAAAAAAATAGTAATTTGAGTAAGACTTATGAATGGAACGGTAATAGTCGCCTTTTTGTTGCGGAACATAGATGATATGAAAAACATGGATAACAGAAATGTGTTTTCTTCGTTAAAATAAAGTCCACATTAAAAGGATTTGACTCCATTGTCCTCAACTTCAAAATAATATTTATTCCGGTTACAGTCATTTAAAATATGTTATGATCTCACCACTCCTAACAAAATAATTTATTTGTAGTAGATCATACCACATATCAACATTTGATTTTAGAGCATTTGATTGGGAGGCATATCCAATTCTGAATCGATTTTCACTAAATTTGACGGAGATATTTTAGTCTTTTATATAAAATAACATTGCTATAGAGTGCATTTTATCACTTCGAGAAGGATTATATTAAAAAAATATATATCGGAGCCGAGTTTCACAAGATGGAAACGTACGTCCCGAAATTCACTCCATTTGGGCTAACATTAAGCATTATTTGCACAATAAACCTGAAATCGGATTAAGGATATATACGGGAGCTATATCAAAATCTTAGCCGATCTTGATAAAATTTGGTAAAGGTATTTCCGAGCTCTGTAAGATATCTAGTACCAAATATCATTGTTGTCGAATGCATATTACGAATGTGAGGGACTTTAATACCAAATTGGATGAAACATATAAGCTATAGAAGCTATATAGACATAACTAAACCGATTTTCACCAACATTTGGAGTACTTGCTATCGGGCTGAATTCCGTCGGAAGTGCCAAAATTCAGTCCAATAGGGCTGATATTAGCCATTTGACGCACAAAACACCTGAAATCGGAAAAAGATATAGGTGTGAGCTATATCCAAATCTGAACCGATCTTGATAAAATTTGGCAGAGATATTTTTGTGTTGCATCTGATCTTTGGTACCAAATATCATTGTTGTGGAGTGCATATTACGCATGTGAGGGACTTTAACACCAAATCGGATGAAAAGTATAAACTATATCTATATGTATAGCTATAGAAGCTATATAGACATAACTGAACCGATTTTCATCAAAATTTAAAGTACGTGCTATTAGGCTGAATTTCGTCGTAAGTGCTAAAATTCAGTCCATTTGGGCTTATATTAGCCATATGACGCAAAAACACCTGAAATCGGAAAAAATATAGGTTGAAGCTATATCCAAATCTGAACAGATTCTGTAAAATTTGCAACATTTATTTCAGAGCTGTATCTGATATCTGGAACCAAAGACAAATTTTATATTGATCAGGCAATAAATGCGACTTTGTTTCCAAAAATACATGGAAAGACTGGCAGACACGCATAAATCGACGCAGAATGTGATTCTATGCAGATCATCAGAAGAAACTATGAGTCTATCCTGCTTCCTTCTCCATGTTACAAACAAATGCACAAAGATATAATACCCCGTCCACAGTGTGCTGTAGGGAATAAAAATGAAGAGTATTCAGAACTACCCATTTGGTGTTTATAAATATGATTGTCAGATTATTACCGAATATCGAGCGGTACAGATGTAGACAAAATTCCGTTACGAAAATTGCGGTTCTAATTAAAATTATGCTTTTGAAAGATATGGCTACTTATAAAAGCTACAATATGGGCATTATTGTTGTTGGTGAATTGACTTCGGGAATGTTAGAGAATTCAATTTCCAATAAAATAAATTTTCCGAATGAAAAGAAACAGAGCATGCAAAAATATTGTATTTTATTACGAAATATAAAGAGTCACGAAATAGAAGAATTTTACATTATCCAGCTTTTGTTCTCCAAAAAACTTAGTTGGGGTATATCATATTACAAGCAAATTTGGTACCAAATACGATCTCCAATACGAAAGGTAGCTTGAATATAAGAAATGCCGGAAGAGCATAACTACATTTAGCTGCCTATCTCAACTTCTTCGAAAGATGTCGATAAGTTGACGGAAATGATTATTTAGACCGAATAAAAACGCAAAATTCTTTGTATGAATAGGTGTATAAAAATAGGATCTAAAAAATTCATGGATCTTAGATGGGATCTCGGGAGATTCCATTGGCTTAGTTGCTGTCTACTTCATGCAATCGACGCGATTACAAACGAGTTGCCCGCAACGCATACTACATAGAGTGCAATGAAAGTCGTACTCCATCGAAGTTCTCGGCACCCGTTGTGAGTTATGTGACCACATATGATGTATAAAATATAAATTGCCATGCAAACACCGAAAGTACTGCAATCCAGAATGAACACGCATTCCAGACACCAGTTAACCGAAAACAAAAACCGAAATAAATGTCTAGGTGGTATATCATTGTAACACGGTTAAGGATTTCCATGATGAATTGGAAAGGGGAGATCCACAAGCGACGAAAAACTATTACAGTTAACAATGCTATGTATATGTTTTTATGTAGTAGTTTATTTATTTTTGTTTCCTTTTCATTTTTTTTTTGCATGTCATTCCTGCTGATGCCTTCGTTTACGGCTACCAAAACAATGATGATGTGGATGATGATGATACGCTTGTCCTTGGTCTATGTCCCGGTGTGTGTGTGTGTGTGTTTGGCTATAAATCACTGCATATTGCACTCGCTGTGACTACAATCCAATGGTGGATGCCTCGTAAACAATCTACTTTACTTGTCTACTTCAAAATTGGACCGGAATGAATGAATGTCTCGTCAACCCCGTAACCCTCGTCTTTTGGTCATACATAATAGAGTGGCAAACGTGAATTGTTCACCATTGGCAACTGGCTGCGCAAACGTTATGGCAACTTTTTGGGCAACTATTATTTTCCAGATGTAAGTTAAAGCCAATGTATCATATGAGAGTTATATGTTAAGTGACTATTTTACATTTAACATATTTAGCATTTGAGAGCTCCTAACTATTTAAAACTAAAAAGTTAATATTTTAAATATATTCCGAAGCATTTTCTACAGGGTATGTCGCCTGAAAGTGTGCTATAACTGGTTTACACATATGCCAAAGACATAGAAGTATAAAGATGGGACAAGACAGAGTCAAAATTTGGCAACCCTTTGAAAATACCTCTGTTGTTATGATATCGTAACAACATAGTTAGCAATGTTATGCGATTTAAACGGCTTAGGTAATATGCAATTAATTTGGAAAGTCTTTGGAATAGAATTTTGAAACTTAATTTTTGGTTTTTTCAAACGTTTGTTTGCCATTTTTTTCTATAAATGTCCTGTCATGAACTGTTATCTAGATAGTATTGACACAAACCAATTACTCTTTACCATTATTTGCATATGCTAGGGTCATATGTAAAGTGAAATTTTAGTAGCATTTTTATGGCATACTTCTAGGCGCTAACCATAACTTTTAATACGCCTATGAATCTAAGATAAATATACATATAACCAACATGATGTACAGGGTGAGATGAAAAAACTGCAACCAAATTCAGACTACTCATTTCTAAGCCACTCGTCCGACAACTGTTAAAATTATTCCAGTGATAGATCATTATATTGTTAACAAATGTACAAAAGCATTTTGGTGAGAATTTTCCAGAAAAAAAGTTATTCGTGTTGGAATTCAAGGGTGATAGTGTGATTTCTTTATATTTGGCTGGAAAACCACAAATGGCTATCGTTAGAGTACACCAGCATTTAAATGTGAATAAATATTTTCTGTCTCGTACCATCACTCTTTACAGTAATACTGGTAGCGTCATTTGATCGAAACCCGCGTCGCAGTGGCCGAAAAATGGGTCGTGAGCTGAACATATCTCAATATTCCATTCGGAAAACATTGAAAAATGAGCTCGAGGTAAAGTCATTGATATTCCAAAAAGTACAAGAACTTACACCGCAACAGAAAGAAAATAGGCTCAAAAGAGCTAACGAGTTGCTTTGCTTAGCCGAGAGTGGTGAACTGCCGAATTTGGTTTTCTCTCGTTGTCCAGCAATTTGTATACAAACAAAATGATCGTGTTTACTTGCCAAAGAGGTCAGCTGAAAATGTGCACCTTCGGTTTTCCACCAGAACACAAGCGCCGGCCATGGTGATGGTGTGGGCCGTCATAACAGCCTATGGTCGCTCCCCGCTTGTATTAATCGACCGTGGTATCAGAATAAATGCCGAATATTATCGCGAAAATATTCTGGAGGGGGTATTAAAGCCTTGGGCACGCAAATATTTTGGCCGCAGACCTTGGACATTCCAACAGGACTCAGCACAATCGCACTCAGCATTTCCAGCACACAATGACAACCAAAATCTCTGGATACCAATCCGTTGAACTATTGTGCCTGGAGTATTTTGGAAAGCAAAGTTGATATTAAAAAATACCAAAGTGTCGAGCACCTCAAGCAAGCGCTTCGCCGGGAATGGGCCAAAATAAACATTCAGGCAGCGTTTGACGGTTTCATTGGCTGTTTGAAGGCCATAATTCGTGTCAAAGGTGACCAATTCGAATAAATCTTAACTTATTCTAAAATTTGATGCTATTTCCGACATTTTTATACCCTCCACCATACTATGGAGGGTATATTAATTTTGTCATTCCGTTTGTAACTCCTCGAAATATTCATGCCAGACCCAACAAAGTATATATATTCTTGATCAGCGTAAAATTCTAAGACGATTTAGCCATGTCCGTCTGTCTGTCTGTGTGTCTGTCTGTCCGTCTGTCTGTCTGTCTGTCTGTCTGTTGTAATCACGCTATCTTTCGAACAAATTGAGATGGAAGGCTAAAATTTTGCACACATGTATTTTTTCCCAGTAGGCAGGTTAAGTTCGTAAATGGGCCATGTAGGTCCAAGTTATCATATAGCCCCCATATAACGGTACCTCCCGATATTCGGTATTTTGATGATTTTAGCGACATTATTCACCGGAATTATTTCAAATTTGGCATTTGAAGTTTGTAATGGATGCTACAGCCTAAGACAGAAAATTATCTGTGCAGGTCCACGTCTTCCTGTAGCCCCCATATAACGGTACCCCCCGATATTCGGTTTTTTGATGATTTTAGCGACATTGTTTACCGGAATCGTTTCAAATTTGGTATTTGAAGTTCGTAATGGATACTTCATCCAAAGTCAAAGAATGAGCCATGTAGGTCCACGTCTTCATATAGCCCACATATAACGGTACCCCCCGATATTCGGTATTTTAATGATTTTAGCGACGTTATTTACAGGGATTGTTTCAAATTTCGTATGTGAAGTTCGTAATAGATACTTCAGCCCATGCCAGAAAATCGTCTGTGCAGGTCCATGTCTTCGTATAGCCCCCATATAACGGTACCCCCCATATTCGGTATTTTGACGATTTTAGCTACATTATTAACAGATTTTTCTTCAAGTTTCGCATTTAAATATTGTAATAATTTATGACAAAAGTTGCCTATGCAGGCCCACGTCGTCGTATAAGCATTCGGTATTTTTAAGATTTTAACAGAATTTTTAACGGGTTTTATTTTTTGGAAATTGCCAAATTTGTACCAAATGGTGGAGGGTATTAAAAGTTCGGCCCGGCCGAACTTATAGCTTTTTTACTTGTTATACCCTCCACCTTGGAAAGGAGGGTAGACCCCATAAAGTATATATTCATAATCAGCATAAAATTCTAAGTCGATTTAACGATGTCCGTCTGTCTGTCTGTCTGTCTGTCCGTCTGTCTGTCTGTCCGTCTGTCTGTCTGTTGAAATCACGATACAGCCCACATTATTTGACGTAGAGCGCCAAAATTTAGCAGAGCAATTTGTGTTGTGTCTAGGATGGTTGGTATTGAAAATGAGATATATCGGTCCACGTTTTGGTATAGCCCCCATATAATGGTACCTCCCGATATTCGATATTTTGATTATTTTTGCCACATTTTTTTAAAGGATTTATCTAAAAATTGGTATTTGTTGGTCATAATGGGTTCCAGCTGCGGTGGCGAAACATTGCATGTATGGGTCCCCATATAACGGTACCTCCCGATATTAGGTATTTTGATGGTGTTTGCCACATTTTTTCACTGATTTGTCTAAAAATTGGTATTTGTGAGTCATAATGGGTCCTAGTTCGTTTGGCGAAACATTGTATTTATAGGTCCACGTTTTGGTATAGTCCCCATATAACGGTACCTCCCAACATTCGGTATTTTGATGATTTTTGACAAATTTTTTCACGAATTTCTCTGAAAATTAGGTAGTTGTAGATCATAATGGGTCCCAGTTCGTGTGGCGAGTCATTGTAATTATAGGTCCCGATATTCGGTAATTTGATGATTTTTGCCACATTTTTTTCACGTATTTGTCTGGGAATTGGTATTTGTAGGTCATAATGGCTTCTAGCTCCGTTGGCGAAACCTTGCATGTGTAAGTCCACGATTTGGTATAGCCCCCATATAACGGTACCTCCCGATATTCGGCATTTTAATGGTTTTTGCCACATTTCTTCTAATGTTTCCTTTACCCTAAGGTGGAGGGTATTAAAAGTTTGGCCCGGCCGAACTTAATGTTTTTTTACTTGTTTGCTTTCATTTAATAAAATTTAAAAAAATGTAAAAATTATGGCGTTTGACTTTGTTGCAGTTTTTTATCTCACCCTGCATAAACTTACCCTGATTTTGAAATATTTAAGGGAAAAAGATTGAATATTCATCGAAATTGTTTTTCTCTAGCTGCTCCATGCCCAGGCCACTGGTGTGCCACGCACCCACATGAGTTTACAGACTGTATTGGCTAGTCTGTTTCAACCCAGAAACACAGCCATGGAATGGAATACCAAATATAATTGGCAACCAATTCCAGTATTTTCACAGGAATTAAATGAGGATACGGTAAGTGAAATGTTCTTGAATAATTGCAGCTGGATGTATACTGTTGTTATTTCCAGCTCTTATTGGTTCGCACACCATGTCCCCGTTATCACGAAGCCTTTCAGGAAGTTTTGAGTTCAGCCAAAGTCCAAGAGGAAATTAAACCACATGAATATTTATTCGGCGAATTAACCAAACTCACCGGCTTAAACATTACCGAACCTGAAGATATTAATTCGCTGTATTTGACACTGTTGGCGGAGGTAAGTAAATATCATTAAAAATCTAAACTGAAGCTGACACGATACCCTTCAATGAGCGTAATTCTCTCCATGCTCACAATTAGAATAAAAGAGTAACAAAATTGGGGGAGTTCGACTCTTTGAGCACATACATGTTCTGCCAACTTTTATATGTATATCCGCCACCATAGTATGGAGGGTATATTAAGTTTGTCATTCCGTTTGTAACAACTCGAAATATACATTTTAGACCCCATAAAGTATATATTTTCTTGTTCAGCATAAAATTCTATGTCGATTTAACAATGTTCGCCCTTCTATCCGTGTGTGGAAACCACTATAGCTTCCGAACGAAAAGAAGTAAGTTGATAAAAATTTACTCAAATGTGTATTATGTCTGCAGGACTTTTGGTATTGAAATGGGCCATGTAGGTCCACGTCTTCGTATAGGGAGAGGTAAATTCAGCTGTGAAGAGTAAATGTCTCCTTTTCCTGGGGGTAAAAATCGGGTGTTTTATTGATTTTTATACCCTCCACCATAGTATGGAGGGTATATTAAGTTTGTCATTCCGTTTGTAACACCTCGAAATATACATTTTAGTTCCCACAAAGTATAGATATTCTTGATCAGCATAAAATGCTACGTCGTCTGGGGAAATCACTTTAGCCTCCGAACGAAATAAAGTAGATTGATAAAATTGTGCTAGATCTGTAACGGTACCTCCTTGTATTCGGTATTTTGATGATGTTAGTTACATTGTTCACCGGAATCGTTTCAAACTTCGTGTTGTAATTTCGTAATGGATACTACAGTCTATGACAGGAAATTCTCTTAATGTCGGTACCGCCCTATATTCGGTATTTCCACGATTTCAGCTACATTAAACACCGAAATTGTTTCGAATTTCGTATTTGAAATTCGCAATGGGTACTACAGTATGCGACAGAAAATTGTCTATGCAGGTCCATGTCTTCGCATAGCCATTTTGAATCGATTAAAATTTCGTATTGTGAATTAGTGATGAGTTCTATGGCCTGTGACAGGAAATTGTTTATGCAGGACCTTGTCTTCGCATAGCCCCATATGTCGGTACCCCTGTAACAAGATGACGGTAACTGCCTATATTCAGTACTTTTACGATCTTAACAGAATTTTTAATGGATTGTTTTTTGAAAATTTCCAAATGCTGGAGGGTTTTCAAGGTTTGGCTCGACCGAACTTATTGCTTGTTCACTTGTTTTACTCTCTGATTCCATCGGTTTTCAATGGCCCAGATTGTGGGAATGGAAAAAATTACGTGCCTTGCTTGGTGCCGCCCAAATTACAAAATCCCCCTCGTTTGAGTCATCAGTGCAGCAGTTGGCTATGGATGTTTATCTAATTCATTGGACCACCAGCAGACGTCTTTTAAGGAGTCGCTTATTTTACTGTGCAACACAAAAAATAATTACAACAGATTTTAGACAGTAGAGCAAAAATTAGGGACAAGCTCCTCCCTCTTCAACATTTTTTGATATTTATACCCTATACCACATGGAAAAGAAGCGAGATAGACCCATTGTTACTTTTGAGGATCTTTCTGAGTCATTTTATGCTGTCAGTAGGTCCGTCCGTCTATCTATGTATTCTTGTGAACAAAATTCAGGTCCCATTTCTTATCCGAACAATATTTGTTTGGCCCAAGGACGAACCCTATTGAAATTGGTAAGAATCGCTTCAAATTAAAATATAGCTCCCATAGGTATGGTCATCCGATTTCGGGGTATTTGTGCACCGAAAGGCCAATATCAGTCTAAACAACCTGAAATTTCGCACACCCGACCGAATTCGGTCTAATAGCAAGATTATCAAATTTCGAGAAAATATCTTCATATATAGCTATAGCTCCCATATATATGTTTCATCCACTCCACAAGAATGATGGTATCAGATAACTTATGGAGCTCAAAAATACCTCTGTCAAATGTCAGCTCCCATATATACCTTATCTGATATCAGGTTTATTGGGCACCATATGAGTAATGTCAGCCCAAATTCCTGCAATTCCCACTGAATTCATCCCATACAAGAGTACTTCAAATTTGGTGAAAATTAGTTAAGATTTAGCTCCCATATATTTTTTCCGATTTGCTGTTAAAGTCCCTCACTTGCCACAACAATAATCTCTGGTACCAGATATCAGCAAGAGCTCAGAAATAAGTGTTTAAAATATTGTCATGAAATCTTTATCCGATTTCAGGTTTATTGGTTAATATCAACACAAATAGACTGAATTTTGGCACTTCCGAACGGATTCAGCCCAGAAGCAAGTACTTCATATTTTGGTGAAAATCGGTTCAGATATAGCTATAGCTCCCATATATATGTTTTATCCGATTTGGTGTTAAAGGTCCTCATTTACGTAATATACACTTCACAACAACAATCTTTGGTACCAGATATCATCTAGAGCTCAGAAATAAGTGTTTAAAATGTTGTCAAGATCGGTTCAGATTTGGATATAGATCCCATATATATCTTAATCCGATTTCAGGTTTATTGTGTACCAAATGGTTAATATCAGCACAATGATATTTGATACCAGGCATCAGAAATCGAAAATACCTCTGCCAAATTTTAACGAAATCGGTTCAGATTTTTTTATAGCTTCGTTATATATCTTCATCCGATTTTACGGTTATTGCTCACCATATATGTAATATCACCCCAAATTCAATATATTTTTCATATCCAACCGAATTTTACCATTTGGTGAATTTCGGTCTGGTATATCTAATGCTCCAATAATTATTTTTTAATATAATTCCTTATCGAAGTCATTGCATGCACTAAACAGCAATGTTATTTGGTACTAGAGCTACAAAGGCCTCCGTCAAATGTGTTATAATCGATTCAGGGTTGGATATAGTTCCCAAATTGTGACTATTCTAAAGTTATGATACGCTTTCAAATAAAGTTCATAGTTTGTATGATCTACTCTACCTAAATTCCGAATATAAAAATTTTTGGTACGGGAGCACTACAAACTACGCATGGTGGTATAGGGTACCACATATTCGATCCAACCTGACTTTTGAATTATCCTTATTGGTATAAATTCTCATTAAAAAATTATCACCCTCCTATATTTTGCAGACTGAATTTGGTTTGGAGCTACCTGCATGGACCAAGCAATATTACCCCGAAAAATTACAATATCTTGCAGAGCAAAGTTACATTTACAATGCCTATACCAGAGAAATGCAAAAAATAAAGGCTGGACCTTTCCTAACGAAAATGTTCAACGAAATGAAGGATAAGTCGTCCAACACACTCAAGCCGGCAGGACGTAAAATGTATATCTACAATGGTCACGATTCGACTGTGGTGAACATAATGCAAGCTTTGCAGATTTGGAAGAGGCAATTGCCGCGTTACTCTTCAATGACTCTCTTTGAGTTGCACAAAAACAAAGATACTGGGAAATATTATGTTGAGGTAATTCTAAAGGACAAGGCGTTTGGGAAATAAGAAATCTATTGTTTTTTTTTTTTAATTTATTTCAGATCTATTTCCGCAACAATCCCAAAGAAACTGCCCTACCTCTTACCGTACCTGGCTGTGATTTCCAATGCCCCCTGGAGAAACTCATCGAATTGAGTTCAGAGGTTTTAATCGACAAGACACGTGATGCGAATCGTTGTGTCTCAAAGAATGAGGCCTTCACGGAACCTCCACTACGTGGTCCATAGGCCAAAAGCCATTATGAGTCTCAGGAATTAGTTTAATTTGCTTCTAAGTACTGTGTTTTCTATTTTGTTTCTTTTTTTTCAACTTTTGTTTAGTTATTTGATTTTTCATAGATAATTATTTTTTTTTTTTTTTTGGTAATATATTGAAGTTGAGTTGGAATACCTCAAATAGATCGAATTTTTATTGTGTAGATTAAATAGATGCAATGGAAACACAGTCGAAATTACGAAGTTTTTCTTCTTATAATTTATAGCCAAAAATTGGAAGATGCAAAACCGGAAGTATCCATTACAAGGTAATGTAAACAAACCAGCATTACCAGTAGGTTGAAAATATAGTCGTTTTTCTTCAAAGTTAAATAATATTAGGAACTTACAATACAAAAATTTCGGTTGCAAAATATAGATTGGGAGGAACCGTTGAAAGCGCGATATACCAAGTTGAGGACCCGTATAGGCAATTTTCTGTCAAAGAATTTAGTATGTATTTCGAACTCCAATCACTAAATTAGAAACAATTCCGTAAAAAAATTTGACATAAATCATCAAAATCTCCATATAACTGGAGGTACATTTATATGGAGGCTGTGCAAATTCTTTCACCTCTTAGAATTGTTTCCTTTCAGATGAAATGTTAGCTATTTCGAACACCAAATACCAACTCTGAAATAGTCCATTTTGGACAATGTGGCTGAGATCGTTCAAATAATAAATATCGGGAGGTACCGTTATATGGGGATTATACCCAAACATGGTTCTATATGGGAAGTTCTTTGCCATGATGTTTCCCCCATACTTGAAATTCAAAAAAAAAAAAAAAAAAAAAAAACTATAATTTCGGCCTGGTCTTTGAATGCCCTCCACCATTTGGAACGAATCTGGCAATTTTCAAGAAAACAAAATCTTTAAAAATTCTATTAAAATCTGAAAAATACCGAATGTAGCCGTTATATTAGGGACGACGTGGACCGCCATAGGCAATTCTTGTCATAAGCCAATACAATATTTAAATGCTAAACTTCAAAAAAATATTCAAAATATACGAAGACGTGAACCTGCCCAGACAATTTTCTGTCACAGGCTGTAGTATCCATTACGAACTTCAAATGCGAAATTTGAAACAATTCCGGTAAATAATGTCGCTAAAATCATCAAAATATCGAATACCTGGGGGTACTGTAATATGGGGGCTATATGAAGACGTGGACCTGCACAGACAATTTTCTGTCATAGGCTGTAGTATTCATTACGAAATTGAAATACCAAATTTGAAATAATTCCGGTAAATAATTCGCTAAAATCATCAAAATACCGAATGTCGGGAGGTACCGTTATATGGGGTCTATACGAAGACGTGGACTTACATGACCCATTTTCAATACCAAAAGTCCTGCAGACATAATACATATTTGAGTAAAATTTTATCAACCGTTTTCATTTCGTTCGGAAGTTATAGTGATTTACGCAGACGAATAGAAGAACGGACGGACGGACATAGCTAAATGGACATAGAATTTTATGCTGATGAATAATATATTTATTTCTGTACTTCTTTCCTAAAGTTACATAAGGATTTACAATATTAAGATACCCTCCTCCTATGGTGATCGGAATAACAACGTATTTTTTAATTGATCGCCACTGTAGTAAATAATTGAACGAAATGTTAGCATAACTTAAGGCGCGAACATATTTTTCACTGCCGGTATATACCATCTACTTGGTTTTATGTATCTTTCTGTCATCCGCCTGAGCTTTAAATACATCGATCAGTTTTACTTAATATCATTTTTTCCGGTAGTTATTAGCAATAATTTAGAATTCGGGGTTCTCATTGAGAAAATGAACTCTGTGAGAAAATCCAATTTGAAACAATCACGGTAAATAATGTCGCTAAAATCATCAAAATATCGAATATTGAGGGGTACCTTTATATGGGGGCTATATGAAGACATGAACCTACAGGCTCATTTTTATTCCCTCCGCCATACTATGGAGGGTATATTAACTTTGTCATTCCGATTGTAACTCCTCGAAATACTCATGTCAGACCCAACAAAGTATATATATTCTTAATCAGCGTAAAATTTTAAGTCCATTGCAACAATTCCGGTAAATAATGTCGCTAAAATCATCAAAATACCGAATATCGGGGGTACCGTTAAATGGAGGCTATACGAACACGAGGACCTGCATATATAATTTTCTGTCTTAGGCTGTAGTATCCATTTCGAACTTCAAATGCCAAATTTGAAACATTTCCGGTGAATAATGTCGTTAAAATCATCAAAATACCGAATATCCGGAGGTACCGTTATATGGGGGCTATATGATAACATGGACCTACATGGCCCATTTACGAACTTAACCTGCCTACAGGCAAAATATACATGTGTGCAAAATTTTAGCCTTATATTTCAATTTGTTCGAAAGATAGCGTGACAGAAAGACAGACAGACGGACATCGCTAAATCGACTTAGAATTATACGCTGATCAAGAATATGTATACTTTGTTGGGTCTGACATGAGTATTTCGAGGAGTTACAAAATGAATGACAAAGTTAATATACCCTCCATAGTATGGTGGAGGGTATAAAAAACTTTTTAATTAGCCGCCACTGTAGTAAATAGTTGAGCGAAATGTTAGCATGACCTAAGGCGCGAACATATTTTTCATTGTCGGTATACATCAATTATTTTGTTTTAAAATACTCACCCTACGACCTTTTTTGCGACTCCATAAGGGCAACGCCATAACTTTTGACAGAGAAGCGTCAGTCCAAGCATATTTTTACCATACTTTTTCCATATTTTTTATCGTGTGCGATTTTTTTCAATTTGACTTATTTTATTGAAGTGTACAATTTGTAATGTTGTTTTACTTTACAAGAAGTTGGGTTCATTATATACAGATTGCAATTATCGTCCGATCCACACGAAAATTCTCACAAGGGTAGGGTTAGGCTCAGAAGGGCTAGAACTATTGTTTTCAAAGATGTCCGCAATATATTTAGGGGTTGAAATGGACCAAAAACTAAAAATGTTCCTGATTTTGCAGCCGTTATAAAGGTTACAAATAGAAACCAAAGGACACGAAATCCCGCGTAAAGTTTTAGTTTAGGACAGCGGGTAAAATGGACCACTACTTTGTGTGAAAAAATACCAACATTTCAATTCTACCGAAACGCTGAAAATAACTTACAGGCAATATCCAAAATTCACAAATATAGCCAAATATCGTAGAGAAGCAAATCATATAGACGAGTCTAAATTTTGAGATACAGAGGGGCCTAGTGCTTTTGGAGATGATCGAAAAATATTTAGGGTTTAAATGAACCAAAAACAGAAAAAATTTCCTGATCACACAATTGAAACCAATCGACACGACTGAGAAGGGAATTATGAGAAGAAGAGGGAAGAGTTCTAGCATTTTGGATGATCATTGGATAATATTTAGCTGTAAAATGGACCACAACAACTAACAGCACGACGGAGTGCGTAAATTTTGGCCAAATGTGCTTGTCAAAATGTTAAGGGTAATATCTGGGTAGTGTTTCCTGACAGGTCCACGTCTTCATATAGCCCCTATATAACAGTAACTCCATTAATTCCCCGGAATTGTTTCAAATTTCGTTGCTTTTTTACATGTTTTGAGGTATGTTTGTCGCACATTTCACTTGCGACCATAACGCTGTAGTTTAAAATATTTTCATTAATTGTGAAGGTTTAGTTACAAAAGCTAAGCATATCTTCAGGCGTAAGCAGTTTACTTTTTATATCAACGGTATGTTTCCCTACGACGATTTGGTAGTGAAATATTTGAGGAGAAATTTAAATCAAAAATGTCAAAATATAAAAAAAAACTTATGGGTTTCTTTCGAGTTCTGTCGCTTTAAAAAAAGATACCATAAAAAGGGTAATGACGTAATTTTTTTTTCAAAAACATTTGGTCTGTTCTAGAACTGAAAGCATGTAAATTTTTTCCTACTATAACCAATTCTCCCTTTATAATATGGGAGAAAAATATTAGATACTTGCAGAAGCCGTTAATTATAAATTTAAAGTTTCAGTGTTATGTATGAGGGACAAAAACTGGCCCAATCCAATTAAACATTTTCTTCCCATGCCCAAGTCAGTTTCAAAGATGAATACTTTTGTAGTTGGCATTTAGCATAAACACACACAAACTTTATTGGGTTTTCAATATGAATTCCAAATAAATAAATCAACCGTACCATGAGTAGAAGAGGAACATATTTTCGTTCTGACCATATCTAAAAAAATATTAAAACAACCAAATGTCATCATAGCAGATGTGATCAAGTTTCACACCTTATTCCTAAAACTCCAAACGCTCTATATACATTTTACAATGACCATTTTCAGTTATCTGACTTAGTTTCCGATTACAATTGTTTGAAATTGTTTTTTTTTTATCTTAAAGTTTTTTGCATATCTAGTCATGTTTCAAATAAAAACATCAAAACAATATGCCTCATCTAACCATAACCATATTGGCAATGTACCAAATGCTCATTTATTCAATTGTTAAATTTTGCTACGAAAAGACAAGTGTCTGCAGACATCTTTGTTGTTGCATGGGTGTGTAGAACGAATGTGTGTGTGTGTGCGTTTCCTTTTTTTGGAGGGGGCTCAAATAAAATTTCTCTTCACCCAACATTTCTTGTGGGTTGATGCTTGTCTGATGTTTGAGGACGATTTGGTTTGATCATCTGCAACATTTATTTGCCCTCGTTGTTGTTGTTGCTGTGTTTATATTTGCCTTGGAAGGTAGGGGACATAATTGTGGTTTGCCACAGCTATTCTGGATATGTTTGGTGTGTTTGGTTATATTGTCATATGGTTTATTCGGCTATGTCTAGATTTCTGCTGTTGTTGCTGTAACAAGTGCTTCCGCTCGGAGTGTTTTGGTGTCTAACAATTTGACAGCCTAACATGTGCAGACATCGACAATACCACACATACACACACACACACACAATTTCTCATACTGTGACATTTTCTGGCGGAAGTTGTTGTCATTTTTTTTGTAGTTTCCTACTGGAGGCGTTTTGTTGCTCCTC